AGACAGGAGTCCTATACCACCAGCCATGGAATTCATGGAGTTACTGTTACCCAGTCTGTGAAGTGGCTCAGAACAAAGATGGCAGCGGAACTCATGGAAGACCACCAGCCACGCCCCCAGCAAAAGTGTTAGCTGCCTTGTCTCTTGGGATAATTGAAGTTCACAGATTTCCCTCTTTGGAAGTGAATCTGGATGAGTACAGTTTCAGGAAACTCAGTAGTATCCAGAAAGTCTGGTATAGGACACGGTAGGACTTCCTATTGGAACTGTTGACCATCTGGAAAGTAGTTGCCTCTGACCCTTGTTTAGGGTGTCCTTCAAGAAAATAACATAAGTCAGGCACTGGTAGCTCACGCCTGTAGTCCTATAGGTACTCAGGAGGCTGAGATCTGAGGATCACTGTTCCAAAAGCCAGCCCGGGGGACTGGGAAGGTGGCTCAGTGGTAGAGCGCTTGCCTTGCATGCCTGAGGCCCTGGGTTCGATTCCTCAGCACCATATAAGCAAAAAGAAAAAAGCTGGAAGTGGCGCTGTGGCTCAAGTGGTAGAGTGCTAGCCTTGAGCTGAAGAGCTGAGGGACAGCGCCCAGGCCCAGAGTTTGGCCCCACGACCAGACCAAAAAAACAAACAAACAAACAAAAGCCAGCCCGGGCAGGAAAGTTTGTGAGACTCTTATCTCCAATAAACCAGTAGAAGATCAGAAGTGGAGCTCTGGCTCAACGATAGAATACTTGCCTTGAGCTGAAGAGCTGAGGGACAGCACCTAAGGCCAGAGTTCAAGCCCACGACCAACAGAAAAAAGAAAAAGAAAATAGCATAAGACACCACGCTGGTTGACTATTCATCATCTTCAGTTCCCACAGCAGTTCTGTGAGGTAGATAGTACTTCATAGATGAGGAAATGGAGGTTCGGAGGAGTGAAGGAACATGTGCAAGATCACACTGTATTAGCAGAGAGGTCTGGCTGGTTGCTCTTGTTCTTTCTGCCCTGTACTGCCCCGGGGCATCACTCGAGCTATCCCAAATGCTATGATGTGGGAGAACCATGGACTTCCCCTTGGGCCCTAATCCAAGGTCTGCCACTAGGCTGTTCCTCAGCATTCAGCTCTGAGATCCTGTGGCTAGTGACTTACCTTTATTTTTTTTTAAATTTACATTGTTATTTTAGAGATGATAAGCAGCAGACACTTACATGCATCAGGTAATAAGTACATTTCCCTCTGTACAATGTCGTCTGTTCCTTTATTCTCTCCCGTGCCCTCACTCCCATTCCCACCCACTTTCAGCAATGTCCAGTGTCCACTGCTGCAATTTTTCACCCTTTTTCCTCGGATTCTGTGCCCTCCTCCAACCCTCCTACAGATGTGCACATGAATACACTGTGTATAAGATAAAGAATACAGTCATCAGAAAAAGAAAAAACAAATTAAGAAAAAAGTCCTTTAGGGGCTGGGAAGGTGGCTCAGTGGTAGAGCGCATGCCTTCCATGCCAGAGGCCCTGGGTTCGATTCCTCAGCACCACACAAGAAAAAAGCTGGAATTGGCACTGTGGCTCAAGTGGTAGAGTGCTAGCCTTGAGCTGAAGAGCTGAGGGACAGTGCCCAGGCCCAGAGTTCAGGCCCCATGACTGGACCCCAAAAAACAAACAAAGAAAAAAGTCCTTTGTTTCCATGTCTTTGGAGTTCATTTCAGTATGTATATTATTTTATATACATGTGAAGAGGCACTTGAGTATTGTACCTGTGTGATGCTCTCCTAAGACTACCCTCTTTTGATTTCACTGTGTGTGAGTATCTAGAATCCTGTGTAATTTCTCATGTCCCAGTGCATTTTAGATCTGTGTATGCACTGTTTGTCTCTCTTACCATGTTTGTTTTAGTTTTACCCATTTCCCTGCAAATGACATTATTTTATTCTTTCTAATGGCTGTGTAAAATTCCATTGTATATAGGTACCACCTTTTTTTTTTTGATCCACTCATCTAATGAGTGGATCTGGACTGTTTTCATATCTTGTGACTAGTGTGGCAGTGAACATGGCTGTGCAGGTGGCCTTGTCATACCCTGGCTCATGATGCTCAGGATAGATGTCGAGGAGTGGTGTGGCTGGGTCATGTGGAAGGTCTGTGTTTGGTTTTTGAGGAACCTCCAGACTGCTTTCCTGAGTGTTGTACGAGTTTAACTTCCCACCAGCAGAGGCGTAGGGCTCCTGTTCCCCCATTTCCCCACCAGCATTTGTTGTTCAAATTCAGTATGTTGGGGTGAGATGGAATTTCAGAGTTTTTATTTGCATTTCCTTTATGGCCAGAGCTGATGAGCATTTCCTCATGTGTTTCTTTGACATTTTTATCTCTTCTGAGAAGTCTCTCCTTAGCTCCCTTGCCCATTTAGTGATTGGTTTGTTAGGTTTGGGAGAGGTTAGTTTCTTGAGCTCCTTGTATTTACTGGATATTAGACCTTTGCTGACATATTGCTGGTAAAGATCTTTTCCTAGTTTTTCGGCTATCTTTCTAATTTAGTGACTATGTCCTTAGCTATGTAGAAACTTTTTATTTTGATGTAGTGCCACTTGTCAAGTCTCTCTCCTATCTATTGTGTTACTGGGACTCTATTCAGGAAGTTCCTGCCTATACCTAGAAGTTCTAATGTTTCTGCTACTCTGTTTCAGAGTTTTGGGTCTAAGTTGAGGTTTTGATCCCCATTGATTGATATTAGTGCATGGTGACAAGCAGGGGTCTACTTACAGTTTTCTGCATGTGGGTGCCATTTTCCCAGCACCAGTTGTTGAAGAGGCTATGTTTTTTCCACTGTATGTCTTTGGCTCCTTTTTCAAATATCAGATGATTGTAAGTATGTGATTTTATTTCTGGGTCTTCTAATCTATTCCATTGATCTTCAGGTCTATTTTTGTGCCAATATCAAGCTGTTTGAAATCTGGTATTGTGATACCACCCACATTGCTTTTTTTTTTTTTTTTGCTAGTCCTGGGGCTTGAACTCACTGTCCCTGAGCTGCTCAATGCTAGCACTCTACCACTTGAGCCACAGCGCCACTTGTGGCTTTTTCTGTGTATGTATGTGGTACCGAGGAATTGAACCCAGGGCTTCATGCATGCTAGGCAAGCACTCTATCACTGAGCCACCTTCCCAGCCCCCGCACCTTTTTTTTTTTTTGCCTAGAATTGCTTTGGTATTCTAAGTCTTTCATTGTTCCATATGAATTTTTGGGTCCTTTAGCTATAAGATCATGTCATCTGCAAATAGGGATAGTTTGATTTCTTCTTTCTCTATGTGGATCCCTTTTATGTCTTTTTCTTACCTCTTTGCTGTGGCTAAGAATTCCAGATCTATATTGAAGAGAGGTGGAGAAAGTGGGCATCCTTTCCTTGCTCCTGAGTTTAGGGGAAATGATTTTAGTTTTCTCCTAGTATGATGTAGGCTGTTGGTCTGTCATATATAGTAAGAAATGTTCCTTTTATTCCTAGTTTCTCCAAAGCATTTCACATGAATGGATGTTGTATTTTGTCGAAGGCTTTTTTTCTCATCTATTGAGATGATTATTGGTTTTTGTCCTTGGCTCTAGTGAATTACATTTATTGATTTGCATATGTTAAACCAGCCTTTTATCTGTGGGATGAAGCCTAATTGGTCATAATGTATGATTTTAAAATTTGTTTCTGGATTCTGTTGGTTGTTTTATTGAAGAGTTTTACATATGTGTTCATCAGAGAAATTGGTCTATAGTTCTCTCTCTCTTTTTTTTTTTTTTGCTGGATCCTTACTTGGTTTTGGGATGAGTGTGATGACTTACCATTTTATTTACCCTTCTCAAGCATGTATTGAGTGTCTGTCTAGAGCCTGGGAGCTTAACAGTAAACAGAATAAACAAAAACACCATTTTCACAAAGCTGGCAATCGATGCATGAAGTAAATTATATAGAATGTTACACGTTGAGATGTACTTTGGACAGAGTACAAACAGCCCTGGTGAAGGGCAGTAGGGTCTGCGGGAGCGGGTCGTAGTGCTACATGAGGCTAGAGGGATGGCTGTGCCATAGAGTCACCCTCTAATTTTACTTAGTCTGAAAGGAAAAGTCTGAAGGCACCAGGTCTCAGAGGCCTAGCTCATCATGGTGGCAGCAGGCCTGGGCTTGTGCAAGAAGGGGGTGTGGAAGGCCCGGCCTTCCCCTAGGGACGGAGGCCTCTTCTTCTTGTACAAGAGTGTACCGTCTCTGCACCCCCGGGCTCTGACTTCCCTGACTCAGCTCAGCCCAGCCCTCATGGTGGAGAGGGCTTGGTCCACTCTGCCTGGCAGGGACTTGGAGGTAGAGGGCCAGTGACTGATGTCAGCTGTGCCCCACCCTCAGCTCCCTAGCTGACTGAGGAACTTGCTGGAAGCTCACCAGGAAACACGAGGAGACTCCTGGGTGGTTTTGAGAACAGCCCTCATGTTCTCTTGGGAAGACCTCTACCATGACCCCATTCTACCCTCATGTGGCATCCGCAGTGGGGAAAGAGAGACTGTGGGGTGGTCTCTTGCTCGCTGACTTTCTCTGTGTTGGAAGGTCTCCAAATCTGAATAATTAGGAGCACCGTCTCTCCCTCCTCCCTCAACATAATGGTCTTCCTGTGTTCTCACCCTGCACACAGCCTCCCTTGCTCTTCTTCATCCCTTAGCGCAGGGGAGGATGGGGGAGCTCCTGCCCAAGTCACACTTCCTCTCCCCTGGTGCATCTTCTCCTGGGCATGTGAGGCCTGTGTCCCTGCTGCCTTTCCTGGGCATGACCCAAGACAGGGCTGTGCTCATGGGTGTGGTGGCACAGTCTTCTCGTCTCCTGCTGGAACTTTTGTGCTCTTGAAGCTGCAGATAGGCCATCGTAGGTGAGGAGGGAAGAGCAGAGCCTCGCTGAGCTGATTGTCCATGCTCCTTCTCCTGGGTAGCCTAGGAAGTCTTGGGGGAGCCATAGTTTGGGGCTTACTTAGAGTTTTGTCTCACCTCCTCAGGTGTGTGGTTGTGCTGTTCAACCCCCGGAAGCACAAGCAGCACCACATCCTCAACAGTTCCAGGTAGGAGGCAATGGGAGGGCACTGGCCCGGGGTCTCCAGAGAAGTGCCACGGTGCCCCTGGCATCTGCCAGCCTCGCCTTTGCAGAGGCTGGGGCTGGGATGCCCACCAGTGCCCATCTAAGCCTGCCCGTCTCTTTCAGGAAAACCATCACTGCCCTTGCCTTCTCCCCTGATGGCAAGTACTTGGTCACTGGAGAGGTGAGTGAGGAAGAGGATGGCCCGCCCACAGCAGAAAGCCACTATCCAGGCCATACTGCCATATAGCTGTCACTTTGACCTTTTGAATTAATGCCAAAGCCTGGTTTTGCTGTCCCTTGAAGTGTATACCAGGATCATCTGAGGGCTTGCTAACGCACACATTGCCGGGTCTGCCCCAAAGCTGTCTGTTCTCTGGATTCTGAGTTCCTGGGTTCCACTTACCATGAAGGTGAAGGAAGCACTGAGAACAGCCCTCATCCCCAGGCCCTACTGGGCCCACGAGGTCCCCTGCCTTCGCCATCTCTCAGGAAGGCATTTGAGAGCAGAGGTAGACCTGAGTGGTAGCAGATTCTAGAATCTAGAGAATAAATCTCTAGATTGATTCAAGGAGTTTTGACCAAGCAGAAGTATGAATCCCCACTCAGAGACAAAATTGGGCCCCCTCGCATGTATATGTCCTCTGTACCTTTCTCGTATTTGGTCGCCTGCTCTTGGCTGTTAGCTGGGAGGGAGGTGGGCAGTAGAGGATGGTGTCCTGTGGCTGAGAAGGTGAGGCCCTCTCTGGAAGGTTACGGAGGCAGCACGCCTCCCTGCAGTCCTCACTCCTGCTTCTCGCCCTCTTCAGAGTGGGCACATGCCTGCCGTGCGGGTTTGGGACGTGGCTGAGCACAGCCAGGTGGCGGAGCTGCAGGAGCATAAGTATGGTGTGGCTTGTGTGGCCTTCTCCCCCAGCGCCAAGTATATTGTGTCCGTGGGCTACCAGCATGACATGATTGTCAACGTTTGGGCCTGGAAGGTGAGTGGACTATGCAGGAGGCAGTCTGGGAGTGGCGTGGGGATCAGTGAGGACTCAGGAAGCTGCTGACCTGAGCTGCTTCACCCCACCCAGCTGGTCTTCAGATTGTTCTAGAAAATTACCTGAGACAGGAAAAGAGCACCCATGTGCATGGAGCTAGCAGGGCTAGCTTATGCCTTCAAGTACTCCTGAGGAAATCCTCCCCCCCAAAAAAAAAGCTCCTGCACACCCCACTTTTTCAGAGTGGCAAATCCTGAAATAAAACACTGTTTTTAGTTGGGCATTCATAGCTTACATCTACAATCCTAGTTACTCAGGTGGCTGAGATCTGAGGATTCAGGCCAGGCAGGAAAGTCCGTGAGACTCTTACCTCCCATTGACCACCAGAAAATCAGAAGTGGTGCTGTGGCTCAAAGTGGTAGAGCACTCACCTTGAGCAAAAGAGCTCAGGGACAGTGCCCATGACAAACAAAAAAAACAAAAAAAAAAAACACTTTTTAAGTAGAAATTGTTTCTAGCTCTCATCTGTTCTCAGAACCTCCTCCTTCTTAGCCCCAAGAGACACAGCCTTGATTCATTCTTTGAATTTCCCTCCAGAAAAACATTGTGGTGGCCTCCAACAAAGTGTCTAGTCGAGTGACAGCAGTGTCCTTTTCTGAAGATTGCAGCTACTTTGTCACTGCAGGCAACCGCCACATCAAGTTCTGGTACCTGGACGACAGTAAGACCTCCAAGGTGAGGGGCTGAGGTGCTCAGCCTGCACTGAGCCCACTCGGCTCCAGCTGGGCCTCTTCTTTTTTTTTTTTTTTTTTTTTTAAATTTTATTTTATTTTATTTGAGAACATACTGTACAGAGGGGTTACAATTACATGGGCAGGAAAATGCATACATTTCTTACCAAGCATTGCAGCCTCCTTTGTTTGCCCTTCACCTCCCTTCCCAGCCTCCCCCCTCCCCCCCACCCAATCATACCCCCCCTCCCCCCCCACTGACATTGTAAAGCTGGTTTTGACATGACATTTTGTACTTCTCATTGTTGCAACAGGTCCACCTGAATCCTTAAACGACTTGTTTGTCCCCGTCTCCTCCACATGTTATACTGACATCAAATATAGTGAAAGCGGGGGTTACACTGTGGGGGAGGGACATACAAAGCAACAAAGAAATAATATTATACATGCGTTCAGCTGGGCCTCTTCTGCTGGCTCACAGTGGTCTTAAGGAACAAGGGCTTGCTGCTTGCCGTCTTCGTGCTAGTGCCTCATCTGCAGGGACAGGGTCTGAGGTGGATGGCCGGACAGCCGTGCTGTGTCTCCACAGGTGAATGCTACCGTGCCCTTGCTGGGCCGCTCCGGGCTCCTGGGGGAGCTGCGGAACAACTTGTTCACGGACGTAGCCTGTGGTCGAGGGAAGAAGGCGGACAGCACATTCTGCATCACATCCTCAGGGCTGCTGTGCGAGTTCAGTGACCGCAGGCTCCTGGACAAGTGGGTGGAGTTGAGGGTCAGTACCTCCGTTCCTGGGAAAGGCCCACCAGGTCTCAGCTCAGCATTGGCATTGTGCATGCGGGAGGGGACCCCAGGAAAAGGAAGCCTGGGGTGCTAGCCCTGGTGACCTGCCCTGGTGACCTGCCTCCTCTTGCTCTCTCTCTCTTTCTCTCTGTGTCTCTTCCCCTGCTTTCCTCCTCTGCTCAGAATACAGACAGCTTCACAGTAAGTGCTGCTAGACCTTCCTCTCTCCCACAGGCTATTTCTTTCTCTTTGCTGTTTTTATCTAAAACTCCATCCTCTGTGCCTTAGAAAGGTGCCTGATTTCCAGCCCCAACTGTGCAGGACTGTGGTCCCTCGGGTCCCGCGGCTGGAGGGAGGGCGGGCATTTCTGATGACAGTGAGGGGCTCAGGACTGAGCAGCTGGGCTGCTTCTCCCTCATTCCGGTCTTGGCCGGACTCTCCTCTTGCAAGTGACTGTGACTTGCGGAGGGGTGGGGAGGAGGAGATGAGACCCAGTGGGCAGGTGGCCCTTACTGACCTGCGCCACTCTGCCCACAGACTACAGTGGCGCACTGCATCTCTGTGAGCCAGGACTACATCTTCTGCGGCTGTGCTGATGGCACTGTGCGCCTCTTCAACCCCGCTAACCTGCACTTCCTCAGCACCCTGCCCAGACCCCATGCACTGGGCACAGACATTGCCAGCATCACTGAGGCCAGGTGAGCGTGTGGGCTGCAGCCTCTGTGTCCAGCCTTGTTTGTCCATGCTTTGTGGAATCAAAGGCCAAAGTATCAGAAGGCCAAAGATTACCAGAAACAAGCACTCTTGGCTTCTTGGTACTTAAATTGGAGCCAAGGAGACCCCATGCAGGGACCATGAATATCTTGGCAAGGGATTCTAGGAGGAGCTTCTGACAGGGCTTGGTCTTCCTTTCCTTTCCCTTTCTTTCCCCTCTCCTGTCCTGTCCTTTCCTTTCCTCTCCTCTCTTCTCTCCTTTCTTCCCCCCTCCTCCCTGCTCCCTCTCTCTCTCCCTTTCCTTCCTTCCTTCCTTCCTTCCTTCCTTCCTTCCTTCCTTCCTTCCTTCCTTCCTTCCTTCCTTTATTTCTTTCCTTCTTTCTTTCTTTCCTTTCTCTTATAAGAATTCTTGAGTTTGAACTCAGAGCTTCTTCCTTGCTGTGTAAGCATTCTACCTATGAACTACACCTTCAGCCCTTTTTGTGCTGGTTGTTTTTGAGATAGGGTCTATGTGTACTTGAGCCATAGTCCATTTGTTTCAAGCTTCTCATCATAGGTAAGACTGCAGGCACGGGCTACCACTCCCTGCTCCTGCCTGGAATAGTTCAAGGAGCCGGGTACTGGTGGCTCACGCCTGTAATCCTAGCTACTCAGGAGGCTGAGATCTGAAGATCACAATTCAAAGCCAGCCCGGGCAGGAAAGTCTGTAAGACAAGTCTTATCTCCAATAAGCCACTAGAAAACCGGAAGTGGCGCTGTGGCTCATGCAGTAGAACGCTCACCTTGAGCTGAAGAGCGCAAGGACAGCACCCAAACCCAGAATTCAAGCCCTATGACCGACAAAAATAATAATAATAATAGTTCAAGGGATTAGAGTTTTGTTCTGATTGGATGCTGTCAGAAAGGGGGGCAAGTTATATAATTGGACATCTTGACAATCTTTAAGAACTACAAGGAAAAGTATGGGGTCAAGCTGTCATGTTAAAGACACAGCCACCAATCAGATGGGAGAGGGCAGTACTTGGTCATTTTTGTTGTTTATTAGGCAAGTGCTATAGTAGATTTGGTTTCAGTGTTTGGAATTGAGCGGGCCTCACTTAGGATAGGCAAATGCACCACTACTGATCTTCATCCCCAGTTCCATTTTTTTTTTTTTGGTTGGTCGTAGGGCTTGAACTCTGGGTCTGGGTGCTGTCCCTGCGCTCTTCAGCTCAAGGCAAGCGCTCTACCGCTTGAGCCACAGTGCCACTTCCGGTTTTCGAGTGGTTTATTGGAGATAAGAGTCTCATGGACTTTCCTGCCTGGGCTGGCATTGAACCGTGATCCTCAGATCTCAGCCTCCTGAGTAGCTGGGATTACAGGCGTGAGCCACCAGTGCCCAGCTCCCAGTTCCATTTTTTGTGGCTTGTTTGGTGATCTTGATTTGATCTGTGTGCAGTTGTGATTTTTGTTTTTGCTTCACTCCCGTCCTGGCCACAGAATCACCTCGTCTGATGGTCTGTCTGTAAGGTGGCATATGTTCATAGGGGGACACCAAGGCCCAGCAGCTAGGGCTGGGTGCCCTCCCACTGATGGCAGCTGTGGACCGGTTCTTTCCTCCTAAGCCTCTCCTTGCACGCCTGGAGAGGGCCCTCCAGCTCTGCCCGGCCCTTCTCTTCACTCCCTTCGCCCTCACGGGGTTGTGCCTTCCTCTCTCCCGTAGTCGCCTCTTCTCTGGAGGACCCAATGCCAGGTATCCAGACACGATTGCCTTGACCTTTGATCCAACTAACCAGTGGCTGTCCTGTGTGTACAATGACCACAGCATCTACGTTTGGGATGTGAGGGACCCCAAGAAAGTGGGCAAGGTGTACTCCGCTCTGTACCATTCCTCCTGCGTCTGGAGTGTGGAGGTATGTGGGTGGCCCAGCTGGCCTCAAACGGGGTTCACTGAGGTACTAGTGTCAAGACAGAGATGTGGGAACTGGAAGTATGACTTTATATACCTGCTGCCTCCTTGTTTTTCCAGTGACACCCCTGGCATGCATCCTGGGGACTGAGCTTGAGTCTTACTGCTTATCCACCACAGTCTTCTTCAGCGTGCCCCTGTCTATCTTAGTTTTGCCTCATCATGGTGTCAATGATCTTGGACAGGTTACCACGCTTGACCAAGCCTTAGTCTCCTCAACTGTAAAATGATGTGCCTGATTAATTGTTCTAAGAATAAAATTAAATGATGTAAGTGGGAGCCAGAGGAGTGCCTGATGTATAGTAGGTGCTAAGTTAATAGGCTTTCCTTCGGTAATTATGTAGTATACATAACAGTTACGTCTTGCTTACTATGTGCCAGACACCCAACTCAGCCTTGGACAGCATTGTCTTTAATTTCAATTCCTTTCATTTCCTTGGGCAGCTCAAAGAGTGTTCCCTAAATAGAAGTCTGACTCTTTGCTTCTGTCCCTTCAGGTCTACCCTGAGGTGAAGGACAGCAACCAGGCCTGTCTGCCTCCCAGTTCCTTTATTACCTGTTCCTCAGACAGTACCATCCGCCTGTGGAACACCGAGAGCTCTGGGGTACATGGCTCTACCCTGCACCGGAACATCCTCAGCAATGTGAGCCTGTGTCCCTGGGCTTCTCTGCATGCTTAGTACCCTATACCCACAATGTTTGTCCTTTGGCTTGAGGAACTAGGTTCTCAGACGTTGACCTTGCAGCTTTTTTCTGGCCTCTATGAAACAAGGGTTTATTTTGCCCAACACTCTTCCCCCTTTGCAGCAGTATAATGTCTGTTCTGCCTTATCTGCCTCTTTGACCTGTTCCACTAGGATCTCATTAAGATAATCTATGTGGACGGGAACACTCAGGCCCTGCTGGACACTGAACTGCCCGGAGGAGACAAGGCTGATGGGTCCCTGATGGATCCTCGTGTGGGCATCCGCTCTGTGTGTATCAGCCCCAATGGACAACATCTAGCTTCGGGAGACCGTATGGGCACACTTAGGTAATGCCTGGGCTGGAGTGCGTGTGACTGCCTCCCATGGTGGCTGTGTAGTTAGGGCCCCAAGAAGCAGAGTTTTAGGATTGTCTCAATAAAAGGAAAGACAATAACTTTGCGATGAAGAACCCAGCAGAAATGATCCTAACCAGGTGATTATGGTTAATATCCACATGTCACCATTTCACTATTCTTTGGTACCCAAAAACACATATGCCGGGCACTGGTGGCTCACACCTATAATCCTAGCTACTCAGGAGGCTGAGATCTGAGGATCATGGTTCTAAGCCAGCCTGGGCAGGAAAGTCTGTGACACTCTTAACTCCAATTATCCATCAGAAAACCGTAAGTGGTGCTGTGACTCAAGTGGTAGAGTGCTTACTTTGAGCTGAAGAGCTGAGGGACAGCACCCAAGCCCAGAGTTCAATCCCCACAACCAACCAGGAAAACAAAACAAAACCAAAACCAAATAAATTCAATCGTGACAGAACACCAGACAGATTCACACTGAGGTACACACAACAGAGTACACACAACTGATAAGTGCTTCAAAAGTGTCATGGTCATAAAGGTACGAAAGATGAAGCAATTATGAACTACAGGGGATTAAAGAGAAGGAACTGCTAAATGCCATTGGTACTCTGTGGTGACATTTTGCATGTGATCTTTAGTTAATAGTAGTGTACCATTATAAATGTCCTGGTCTGATAGTTGTACTTTATAAGATGTTAATACTAGACAAAGCTGACTGAGGAAAACAGACATCTCTCTCTTCATGCAGCTTTTTTCTAAGCTTAAAAAGAATGAATGAGTGAGGGAAGGGGAGGGTGCAGCTGATGAAGGGAGCCCTTTTCCCTGCAGCCTAACAGCCGCCTCTTCCTCCTTCCCCTCATCTTTTCAGGGTGCATGAACTGCAGTCCCTGAATGAAATGCTCAAGGTGGAGGCCCATGATTCAGAGATCCTGTGTCTGGAATACTCCAAGCCAGACACAGGTAAGGCGGATAACCAGAATGGCCTGGGTGTCATGCAGGGATCATTCTGGCTCTTAGATGTGGGGCTTGCAATCTTGGACCACTTGATTTTCACAGGTTAAGAAGAGGACAACTTTCCCTGCTCTGTGGTTTATGTAGCTTAAGGTTATGAGACTTAGTTCCCTTGGGGTCTTTGCAGGCTTTAGGAGCCTGCTCAGGGCACATGTGAGCCAGAGGAGTTCTTCTACCCACAGGTCTGAAGTTGCTGGCATCAGCAAGCCGGGACCGGCTGATCCACGTGCTGGATGCTGGGAGGGAGTATAGCCTACAGCAGACACTGGATGAGCACTCATCTTCCATCACTGCTGTCAAGTTTGCAGGTGGGAACAGGGCAATGGAGACACATCCTGCTACCTACCACCACCCCATTTTTCCATGAGAAAGGTCTGCTAGTGGTGGGAGGCCTGGGGCTGGATGTAAAGGCAGGTAGGATGTAGACTTTCAGTCCAGGGGATCCAGAGCCAACCAGGTTGGGCTGAGGATAGGCAGAAAGGAAAATCTGGGTTTAGAGAGAAGCATTCTGATTGTTGTTTAGAGAGAAGCATTCTGATTGGTTATCCTACCAAGTTAAATAGTTTGAACAGGGCTCTTCCAACACAATGGGAAGGTAGGGAAAAGGCTGCTCCCTTGTGGTGGGACCTGGGAACAGCTAGGCTTCTCCTCCTTAGCCAGCGATGGGCAAGTGCGCATGATCAGCTGTGGAGCAGACAAGAGCATCTACTTTCGCACTGCACAGAAGGTGAGGGTACTGGTGTCCCTGCAAGGGGCAGGGTGGGAGTGGGGTCTCTATCAAAGAGGAAAGGGGGTGAAGCGGGGCCTGGTGGGCCTGGTGATGCATTTGATGGGGGTCTGCCCCTATCCTTCATTCCTGTAGTCTGGAGATGGAGTACAGTTCACACGGACACACCACGTGGTACGGAAGACAACCCTCTACGACATGGATGTGGAGCCCAGCTGGAAGTACACAGCCATTGGCTGCCAGGACCGAAATATCCGGTGGGCATCCCCTTGGCAGCCTGTCTGGCCCTATTCGTGCATTCTCTAGGATTTGTTCTTATTCTAGGTGGGTCAGCTCTATGCAGCTCAGACTCCACACCTATCTTTTTTTTAAAAAAAAATTATTATTCTTTTGCCAGTCCTGGGACTTGAACTCAGGGCCTGGGCACTGTCCCTGAGCTTCTTTTGCTTGAGGCTAGCACTCTACCACTTGAGCCACAGCGCCACTTCTGGCGCTTTTTTTTGTGTATGTGGTACTGAGGAATGGAGCCCAGGGCTTCATGCATGCTAGACAAATACTCTACCACTAAGCTTCCCAGCCCCTTTTTATTTTTTAACTGTATGTATATTTTTTGTCTTTTGTTTTTTAGTTCTGGGGTAGAACCCAGGACTTGCACTTGTTAGGCAGGCGCTTTGCCACTGAGCTACATCCCAGCCCCACACCTATTTTTTTGACCAGGACTTTGTATCTCCTTGAGCCCACAGAAAAAGTACTTTGTGTTAACTAAGAATAGTAGATCTGGTGGGGGTAGCTCCCAAAAAAATGGGCTGGGCATGATTGCTGGAGTTTCTACTGTCCAGGTGTTGCCTGGTCTTTACTCCTCGGTATATATATGAGCCATTTCTCTACAGGATCTTTAACATTAGCAGCGGGAAGCAGAAAAAGCTGTTTAAAGGGTCGCAGGGTGAGGATGGCACTCTCATCAAGGTAGGGGCCGAGAGGGGGGTAAGCACAGGGCTGGAGGGGGCCCGCGGGGCTCTGGGTGAAGAGGGACTGGTACTCCTGGGCTCTGTCAGCTGTGTGCCTCTGTTCAGGTGCAGACAGACCCCTCGGGGATCTACATTGCCACCAGCTGCTCTGACAAGAACCTCTCCATTTTTGACTTCTCCTCCGGCGAGTGCGTGGCCACCATGTTTGGTCACTCCGGTGAGTGTAGCTCCCACTTCCCTAGCCATTGAACTCTATATTCTTTCTTCCCTTAGTCCTTGCTGAGGGAAGTCCCAGCAGCTCTGACCAATGCCACCCCAGTAGGGGCCTCCTTGCCTGAAGCAGGGAGGCTCTGCTGGCAGATGGTGCAGCATGCTGCCTCTCCCCTCCTCCACGTGCAGACTCAGAGCAGGGAGCCAGGGGTGTGGAGGGCACTTGAGTCTCTACCATGCCCACCCTAGCACAGACAGGCATCTGGTTGGGAATTCAATGCAGCTCACAGGCTATATTCTTTGTTCCTCACAGAGATTGTCACTGGCATGAAATTTAGTAATGATTGCAAACATCTCATCTCGGTGTCGGGGGACAGGTGAGCAGAAGGCAGCTTTTCTGAGAGAGAGATTCTTCCTCTGGTCCACCTTCCCCCTGCCCCTCATCTTACAGAGGTGTGGGAAGTGGGGCTGAAGAGGGATATTTCTCGCTGGGCCTGAACTGGCAGTGGAGGGTAACTGGGGGCTCCTTTCCGGTCATCAGGGAAGCAGGACTCGGAGCACTCTCCAGAGTCCCACTCAGCCCCTCCCTCACCCGCCCTCTGCTCTAGCTGCATATTTGTCTGGCGCCTGAGCTCTGAGATGACCATCAGTATGAGGCAGCGTCTGGCTGAGCTGCGCCAGCGGCAGCGAGGAGGCAAGCAGCAAGGACCATCTTCCAGCCAAAGGGCTTCTGGGCCTCCCCGGTAAGCACGGAACATGGGCACGTGATAGGTGGGGGTCCCTCCACCTTCCTTCTCACGAAAAGACCCATTATTCGTGTTGGCTTCTTCCCCCAGTCAGTTTCCTCTTGCCATGACCTTCCTTGTCTTGGACTCAGGCCCCAGGCTCCAGTGATGCTCTCTTCTGGACCAGCTCTCTCATCAGACAGTGACAAGGAGGGAGAAGATGAGGGTACCGAAGAGGAAGAACTGCCAGCTCTGCCCGTCCTTGCCAAGAGCACCACGAAAGAGCCAGGTTTGTGCAGTCTGCTGTAGTGCCAGACAGGCGGTAGCTGGTATAGTGGCTATATGGGCCCTTCCTAGAACCATGGGGCGACAGGGAACTGAGGCGTGATGTGCCCACACAGGAGATTGGCTCATATGAGCCCTGGGCCCGGGTGAGCAGGCAGAGATACTCCTTCTGATTGCCTATTTCTTTCTAGCCTCAGTCCCTGGCCCAGCTCTGCTCCGAAGCCTGTCCCACTGGGAGATGAGTCGGGTGAGCATCGCATCCATACTGACATATGCTTCCAAGGCTACAGGAAGTGAGAGGGGGTGGAAGCAGAGCTCCCCCCCCCCCTTCTGTGCCTTGTGAGGCATTTGGGCATAGTTTGCCAGTGTGCCTCTGGCCTGTTTCTAAAGAAGGCTGTATGTGGGAAGAGTTCAAGCCACTGGGCTGTTTGTGGTTTGGGGATAGGGGTGTCCTAGTCTTTGTTTTGTGTTTTGTTTTTTGTTGGTCGTGGGACTTGAACTCTGGGCCTAGGCACTGTCCTTCAGCTCAAGGCTAGTGCTCTAGGGCTGGGAAGGTGGCTCAGTGGTAGAGCGCTTGCCTTGCATGCATGAGGCCCTGGGTTCGATTCCTCAGCACCACATAAGCAAAAAGAAAAGAGCCGGAAGTGGCACTGTGGCTCAAGTGGTAGAGCGCTAGCCTTGAGCTGAAGAGCTGAGGGACAGCGCCCAGGCCCAGAGTTCAGGCCCCACAACCGGACCCAAAAAAAAAAAAAACAAAAACAAAAAAAAAAAAGGCTAGTGCTCTACCAATTGATCCACAGTGCCACTTCTGGTTTTCTGGGGGTTAATTGGAGATAAGAATGCCATGGACTTTCCTGCCCAGGCTAGCTTTGAACCGCGATCCTCAGATCTCAGCCTCCTGAGTAGCTAGGATTACAGGTGTGAGCCTCCAGCACCCGGCTAGTCTTTCCTTCTTGTGCTAGATGAGGACAGTCACAAGTCAGGTGTGCCACCTGCTCACCTGCCTGGGCCTGGCAGCCTGAGGTTGGGAGGTGACAAGGAAGGCGGGGTGTGAGCCCAGTAGTTACAAAGAAAGTTCAGAAAAACAAGAGTAGAAATCTGGAGAAATGGTCATTATAAAGGCCCCAGCTAGGGCTGGGAATGTGGCTTAGTGGCAGGGAGCTTACCTAGCATGCATGAAGCATTCCTCAGTACTACATACATGGAAAAAGCCAAAAGTAGCGCTGTGGCTCAAATGGTAGAGTGCTAGCCTTGAACAAAAGCAGCTCAGGGACAGTGCCCAGTCCCTGAGTTCAAGCCCCAGGACTGGCCAAAAAAAAATACCAAACAGCTAAGAGGTAAGCTGAGGACAGCTAAGGGAGAAGCCACAGGAGCAGCAGTGCTCCCGAGCAGCCTGGCCCAGCCCAGGCTTCCAGCCCCACGGCCTAATGGTGTGGAATCTGGTGCGACCTCACCACACCAGGGGCCTCAAGTCTGCACTTCTGATTCATCCTTGGTACTAGTTGTGAAGCAGGGTCTTCAGAGTCCTGTTGGGGCTGCCTCACAGGAGTTCTGTGTGTGGAGCGCATGATGCTGGCAAAGGCAGAGACTAGAGGGGCCTGTGAGATGAGAGCAGCCACAGCGTGGCCTGAAGGCGCCTAACCCTCAGGCCACTTACTGTGGCAGGGCTGAACTCGCCACCTGGGCCTTCTGATTCCCTCCTGTAGAATGGGGACATTGTAAGGTTGCAGAATGGAATGAACCCGTGGAGAGTGCCTGGCGTGCAGTAAGGCGCATGTTTGCTGAGAGCATGCATAGTTCTTACTCTTCCTCCACTCCTACCAGGCGCAGGAGCCCGGGGAGTTCCTGGATTCAGCACCTGTAGCAAACTCAGGACCTAGAAGAAGGGGGCGCTGGGCCCAGCCAGGTGTGGAACTGAGCGTTCGCTCCATGCTGGACCTACGGCAGCTGGAAACCCTGACCCCAGGCCCTCAGGAGCCCAGCCAGGACCCTCCAGCTGTGGCCATGCGCAGTCCTGGGAAAGACAGACCGCAGGACCCTGCCACCTCCCGAGCCTGCCAGGTGAGCCGGCTTCCTCCCAGTGCTGAGGAGCCTTTGTCAGCTCAGGCCAGCAGCTGGGACTGAGCACAGCTGCAGCCAGGCTTGTTGCCCTGTGGCCCGTGGGTCACTGTGTATGGTGTGGTGACGGGCGGACAGTCAAGGTGGCCTTCGCTTTGGAGAAGCAACTCTTAGTGTTTAAGTGGAGCTGGAACTGTCAGCCGAGCAGTTACTCAGGTTACTCAGGACCTTGCTGTAACAGGTCAGGTCTGTCCTAGGATTAGAGAGGCCAGCTTTCCCAGATTTGAGGTATGCCAGAGGCTTACCACCTGCAGTGCTCCTCCACATCAGCCGCCCCCCACTGCCCCTTTGTGTGCCCTTAGAATGAGAAGCCCCCTCGGTGTCAGCCTTCCCAGCCCTGTTCCTGCCCCCACATTATCCGATTGTTGTCACAAGAGGAAGGAGTCTTTGCCCAAGATCTGGAGCCTGCGCCCATTGAAGACGGCATTGTCTACCCAGAGCCCAGCGACAGCCTCGGCATGGATACCAGGCAAGGGTGCTCCCCGCCACACTGGGCACGCGGCTTCTCTCCCTGCAGCTGGGGGAGGTTCGCCGTGCGGCCGCCTCATCTCCAGTCCCACTCCCACGCAGGAGTGCGGGGTGGGGGTGGGGGGCTGCTGCTCTTCTCTGCTCATGGCCTTTGCTTTCCCCTGCTGGCCCCCGCAGTGAGTTCCAGGTACGGGCTCCAAGCAGAGGAACTCCAGGAAGAGTGTACCCAGGCGGCCGGGGCTCAGAAAAGCATAGCCCTGACAGCGCGTGCTCCGTGGATTACAGCAGCTGCCTTTCCAGCCCTGAGCACCCCAATGAAGGTGAGGAGGGGACCCCTGGCTGAGGCAGGGCTCGAGGCCCCGGTGACAGAGGGGTGCAGTGTGGTGCCTCTCCCCTCCCCCACTCCAGACTCGGAGAGCACGGAGCCCCTGAGTGTGGATGGCATCTCCTCAGACCTTGAAGAGCCAGCTGAGGGTGAAGAAGAGGAGGAGGAAGAGGAGGCAGGCACTGGCCTCTGTGGGCTACAGGAAGGCAGCCCCCACACTCCGGACCAGGAGCAGTTTCTAAAACAGCACTTTGAGACGCTGGCCAACGGGGCTGCTCCAGGTGTGGTCAGAGAGCCGCGCTCTCGCCGGGCAGGCTTCCCCGGCTTGCCCGCAGGCAGTACTTCAGGGTGTCCTTCCAGGGGAGGGCTTTACTTCTGCCTCCGTTCACGATTTCTGTCCTCTGGCAGGGGGTCCAGTGAGGGTCCCGGAGAGGACAGAGTCTCGGAGCATCTCCTCGCGATTCCTGTTGCAAGCGCAGACCTCCCCGCTCAGGTATGGAGCGCCCGCCTTGGCCAGCAAGCAGCCTCCCCACCTCAAGGGGACCCTGTGGCCCTGGCTTGGGGTGGTCAACCTCACCCTGGTCCTGGCTGGTTTTGTGCCCGTGCTCTCCTTGTGCGGCGCGCGGGAGGAGCGCTGAGCCTTCTCTGGTCTTCTTCCATATTTCTTCCCCACAGGGAACCAGCCCCATCCTCCTCAAGCTCAGCCCTGGTGTCGAGACCTGTCCAAGTGCCACAGATACCTGAGGAGCTGAAAGGCAGTGGGGCTAACCCTCCAGGAGCACCCCCAGAAGTGGAGGCTCCCCCTGGCCGCCCCAGACCCCAGCAAGCCGTCCCTGTGCTGCTGCCACGCCGCCGTAACAGCCCGGACAGCAGCTGGGCCTCCAAGAGAGGGCCCACAGCCAGCCCCTTAGCTGGACCCCAGAGGGCCCAGTCGGCACACAGCCTGGCACCACAGGGTGAGGAAATGGGGGGCCCCACTCCAGAGCCTGGGGAGTGTGGAATAGAAGGGCATGCTGGAGGAGGGTGGGCCGGTTGTGGCGCTGGTGCGTCACCATGCCTGCAATAGCTCCATCTCTTCTGCAGATGAGGAGCCTTCTTCAGGCCCGTTGAACTCAGGGGAGATAGAGGCTCGGGAAGGCCTGGGCTCCCTGCCCCATGCTGATCACCAACCATCACGGCCCCGTTCCTACCGGAACCCCACCACCAGCTCTGTGGCCAAGATAGCCCGCAGCATTTCTGTTGGAGAGAACCTGAACCAGGCAGCTGAACCTCAAGCTCCTGCCCCCAGCCGAGCCTCACCCTTCAGCAAGCTGGCCCTGCCCAGCCGGGCACACCTAGTCTTGGACATCCCCAAACCACTGCCCAACCGACCTAGCCTGGCCGCATTTTCACCTGTAACCAAGGGGCAGGCCCCTGGAGAGGCGGAACAGCCTGGCACTTCAGTGGACCTGGCAAAGGCTCACAGTATATCTGAGCGGCTGGCATGTTTGGGGGAGGGTGCCCCTCCCAAGCCTAGGACAGAGCACCAGGTTCTTCCTGGGCCCAACAGTCCCCGTGCCCAGCACCTGCCTGCCAGCAGCCTCCTCCAAGGCCCCAAGAACTTGCCACCCCCAACCCCTGAGAAGACTCGCAACCCCATGGAAAGCACCAGGCCAGGGGCAGCCCTGAGCCAGGACTCAGGTGTGCACAGTTCCCCGGCCCTCATCTCCTGCCCCATCTTCTCCGTCTCTGTTGGCTGCTTTCTCTCTCCATCCCATTTCCGTGCGTCCAGCCTTTGGCGTTTTTTGTCCTGTCTGCTCCTGTCTTGGTCCATAAGTCATATCCCTGACAGCAAGACACTCCTGCCCACCTTCGTGGCCTCTTGGGAACCCTCTTAGCCTGTCAGTGCCCTCTGGACTCGGGCTGGCCTTCTCAGCCTTCGTTGTATGTGCTGGTGGGGAAGGGGAAGGAGGGGCGGGGCCAGAGTGCAGGTGGGGGAGGACAGTGCTGAGGGGTAGGCCTTTCCTGCTCTTAGAGCCCCTGGTCAGCCAGCTTGCCGAGCCTCCCTGAGCAGTATCTGTCCCTCTCAGAGCCAGCTGTGAGCCTGGAGCCAGCTGTGAGCCTGGAGCAGTGTGAGCAACTTGTGGCAGAGCTCCGTGGGAGTATGTGCCAAGCAGTACAGCTCTACCACTTGGTGAGTGCTGGGCAGCAGACAGCAGGAAAAGAGCCTGTCATTTATTAGTTGCTTCAACGTCGAGTGTCAAGCCAGGCACTGGTGGCTCACGCCTGTAATCCTAGCTACTCAGGAGGCTGAGATCTGAGGATCACTGTTCAAAGCCAACCCCAGGCAAGGAAAGGCTGTGAGACTTATCTCCAATTAACCACCAGAAAACCAGAAGTGGCACTGTGGCTCAAGTGGTAGAGCACTCGCCTTGAGCTGAATTGCTTAGGGACAGCGCCCAAGCCCACAGTTCAAGCCCCTTGACAAGCGTCATCAAGAGGAGTAGCTAACAGGACAGACATCCCTGTAGTCTGAAGGGCTCCTTCGGGTCGCCAGTCAGACTCTGTGTCCCCTATCTCCTGATTATTACTTCTGGATTCCTAGCCCGGACTTTGACCCAGACAGAGCCCCTCCTTTCCCTGTGTAGTCACTGACAGGCCCCTCCACTGCTGTTCCTCTACTTCCCGTCTGGTGGTCTCATTGCAGGTGGCCAGCTGTAAGACGCCCTCAGCAGAGCAAAGTCACATCATTCGACTCTTGAGAGACACCTTCTCCTCCGTGCGGCAGGAGCTAGAGGCCCTGGCTGGGGCAGCCCTGTCTAGCCCAGGCGGGAGCCCTGGCACAGTGGGAGCTGAGCAGACGCAGGCCCTGCTAGAACAATACTCAGAGCTGTTGCTTCGGGCAGTGGAGCGACGCATGGAACGCAGACTCTGAGCTCCAAGCCCAAGCGAATGCTCCCCTATCTCTCTTCCACTCCTCAAAACCTGCAAGGATGCTTGGAGTGGAGAGCAGGGGTCAGTGCTCAGAGGGGAGGCAGCTTTCCTGGCTGCTCCTTATGGGGCCCCTGTATTTATTAATTTATTTCCCTGACTGTTGCCTCGCTTCCTTGGAACCCCTGCCTTCGAAGCCTATCCCGGGGCTCGGCAGGGGTTGGTCTTGGGTCTTTGTCATCTTGGTGCTGTGAGGGGTAGAAGGGCAGCCTGCCTCATGTGGAGGACACCAGACAGGCTGGCCCTTTCTTAGAAGCCATTTGAAGTTACTTCAGGGATCAGCTCCCTGGGGTGGAGCATACACAGGGTACTTTAGTGGGTAGAGGTGACAGGTGCCGTGGTATTTAGCGCCCGTCTGTGGACCTCCACCTCTACTTCTTCTTCTCCCACACCAGCTGCAGCCTCCTAGCTACCCCCAATTCCGGATAGTGCAGAAAAGCAGAGCTGCCTAGTCTCCACTGGCATCTCCAGCAGTCAGGCGACTCGAGTTGGCATCAAGACCTGAGCCTTCACATTCCATTCCCACTCCCCCCACCCCAAGAGCACCCTAGCATTGTTGCTTCCCCAGCAGCCCCCTTTCCGTCCTGGCCAGCCCCTGTAGGACCAGCTGTGGGGCATTGCTGCAGGACAGCAAAGCCCCCTGCTGGGCAAACATGAACCCCTGGCCTCCTTTCCTGAGCTCCTCAGGCTTCCCATCCTCCAGTGTTGGTCTCCTGTAAGCTGCTGAAGCCCAAAGGACCCCACCTTGTCCCTGTATCCCGATCCACACACAGAAAGAAGCCTGTGTTGGAATTTCCCTTGGTTTGCAGGACGCCTGCCTACCTTCGGAGGACTTTGGCCACCAGTGAAATCAATACTAGAGTAGTGGCTGGCTGATGGGTGCCTGATTTCCTCTCATATTCTGCCTCAGCCTCCCCACCCTGGAACTTGTATGAGGACCATAAAAAGGAATGGAGCACATTAAACCCAAATTCTGGATTCTAGCTGATAGGAGATGGCCCATGGGACACCTGTTGCAGACAGAAGGAACCTCTTGCAAGGCAGATCTGGGTGCCCAAGGGTGCTGTAGATGGTGGAGGCTGAGGGAGATACAGGAGCCAAGAGAGACACTGGAAGTGGTAGGTGGACAGGTAAGTGGCAGTGGTAAGGGGATTTGATTATAGAGTTGAAAGGGCAGTTAGGGAAGGAGGATGCATAGTAGGCATAGGACAGGACTAAGTAGTGAGGAGCAAAGTTGGGGTAACCCATGTGTCTCTGTGCCGAGCCAGGCAGGGCCCCAGAGGCCGCACAAGAGGCTCCAGGCTCTAGGCTCTGTGGACAGAGGCTGGAGAGTTGTTGCTTTAGCCTGAGTGCCTGAAGCGAACCAAAAGCACACTCACACCTCTCATCATCTGCTTGGCCAAACTCACCTCTGGCCCCAAGAATCTCCGCCGGCTGGAGGTGGGCCCCTGGCAGCCCTGCCGGCGTGAGGGTTGGCAGCCCGCGCCAGCTGCAGCTCACAGGGCTCCGCCTTGCCCGCGCCGGGCTCGCGGCCCCCGGGGGGAGGGAGGCCTTGTGCCTGGCGCCGCCCTCCCCTTCCCCCCCCCCCCTCCCTCCTGCATGTCAGGCCGCCGGCGTCGCCGCCCCTGTCCGCACGCCCCTTATTTATAACTTTTGTACGTGGTCCCGCCGCGGCGGCGGCGGCGTCTCCTCCCGCTGCACGGGCGGGGGCTTTTTAACATGCCTGTTCGTACTGATGTATGGACTCGCCAATAAATCATTTGTTACCTGGATGCCCGCTAGCCGGCCGGCGAGTCGTGTGGGTCTTGGGGTGGTGGAGGACCTGACGCGCGGGGCCGGGAGGTGGGGCGGGGCCGCGGGAGGCGTGGCTCTGGAGTGGGTGGGGCGGGGCCGCGGGAGGCGTGGCTCTGGAGTGGGTGGGGCGGGGCCGCGGGAGGCGTGGCTCTGATGTGGGTGGGGCGGGGCCGCGGGAGGCGTGGCTCTGATGTGGGTGGGGCGGGGCCGTGGGAGGCGTGGCTCTGGGTGGGCGGGGCCGGGTGGTAAAGGGTGGGCGGGCCAGGGTTCCGGGGCGGGTCCCGGTGAGTGGCGTCATGGCGGAGGCGGCCCTGGACGCGGTGCGTTGCGGAGCCCTTCTCGAGAGTTCCCGGCGGCGGCAGGGTTTGAGCTCGCTCGCGCTGAGGCTGCCGGGCCCGGGCCCGGGTGAGCGGTTGGTGACGGCGCTCGGCTGCTCTGGGGCCGGCTCAACCTGGCTCCCGGGCCAGGTGGTCGTGGTGCCGTTCCCCGGGGTAGGGGGTCTGCGCCTCGCCGAGGGGCCCGGGGTGGAGTCCGCACCCCGCGGGAGGAGTGCCCGAGGAGGCCCGGGGTGGAGTCCGCACCCCGCGGGAGGAGTGCCCGGGGAGGCCCGGGCTGCAGGGCCGGCGGGAGGAGTGCCCGGGGAGGCCCGGGCTGCAGGGCCGGCGGGAGGAGTGCCCGGGGAGGCCCGGGCTGCAGGGCCGGCGGGAGGAGTGCCCGGGGAGGCCCGGGCTGCAGGGCCGGCGGGAGGAGTGCCCGGGGAGGCCCGGGCTGCAGGGCCGGCGGGAGGAGGGCCCGGGGAGGCCCGGGCTGCAGGGCCGGCGGGAGGAGGGCCCGGGGAGGCCCGGGCTGCAGGGCCGGCGGGAGGAGGGCCCGGGGAGGCCCGGGGAGGCCCGGGCTGCAGGGCCGGCGGGAGGAGTGCCCGGGGAGGCCCGGGCTGCAGGGCCGGCGGGAGGATTGGGAGCAGCCGAGCTGCCCCGGGCCCGCTGCGCGGCTGGGTTTGTCTCCCCTGTTCCTGGCTCCCGTTCTCACCCCCCGCCCCCGGTGCTGGGATTTTGGCGTTCGGATTTTTTTCGGTCGGTCGCGGGGCTTGAACTCCGGGCCTGGCGCTGACCCTCAGCTCAGCGCCACTTCCGGGGGGTTCATTGCAGAGAAGAGTCCCACAGACTTCGCTGAACCGCGATCCCGAGTAGCTGGGTGACCGGCGGGAGCCCCGGCCCGCCTGGGTCTCCCTGTGCAGTGAGGCTGACTCAGCTTCCCCAGGTGCACCTCCATGCCCGTACGTTTCGTTTAACCCTTGACCTGCAACGCTGGCCTTTCTGTATCTAATATAAATAAATAAGCCTCCCTCCCACCCCGGCCCCCCTTTGCATTTTCCCAAAAAGACTCCGTTTGTTTCTGTGCCACAGGACTCTTCGCCCCTTTGTCATATATAGTTTTATTGTTAAAGGTGGTGTACAGAGGAGCTACAAGTCAGGTAATGAGTACACTTCTTGTTTTGGAAAATGCCACCCCTTCATTCACTTTCCCGAGTTTCCCCCTTACAATCTCTTTCTTATGCAAGGACCTCTGTTTCGGAGGTCATTCCATATATCTCTAGCACAGTGTTTTTCATACTAGTGCTGTAATTTACTTTTAATCTGCCCAGTGTTTCCAGGCATTAAGCATTTCCAATCACGTTTTCAGCTGTGTGTTTGTGTGTGTGTGTGCGTGCGTGCGCGCGCGCGTGCGGTCTCTATGTGTCTGTCCTGGGACTGGACACTGTCTCTGAGCTTTTTTGCTCAAGGCTAGCTATCTACTACTTGAGCCACAGCTCTGCTTTTGGATTTGTTAGAGATAAGAATCTCATGAACTTTCCTGCCTGGGCTGGCTTTAAACTGTGATCCACAGATCTCAGTCTCCTAAAGGTAGCTAGGATTACAAGTGTGAGCCACGGGGCTCCCAGCTTTAGCCAATAATTTTTAAGCACCTCTTTGTAAAACAAAGTCCGCTGCTGGTGGCTCACACCTGTAATCCAAGCTACTCAGGAGGCTGAGCTCTGAGGATCGCAGAAGCCAGCCTGGGAAGAAAAGTCAGTGAGTCTCATCTCCAATAAGCCACTCAGAGAAAGCCGGAAGTGGTGCTGTGGCTTAAGTGGTAAAGCGCTAGCGTTGAGTACAGACCCTCAGGGACAGCACCCAGGTCCTGAGTTCAAACCCAGGATCAGCAAAAACAACTAATCTAAGTAGAGGCCTGGCTCTTGCCTAGCCATCATGAATGCTGTGCTTTCAGACCCCCAAATTAAAACTAAGTGTAGACCCAGCAGCGCCTGCTGCGCTGGGGGAGCAGGGACGGTGCCAGGCTGCCGGGAGCACTCGTGAGTTTTCTTGTCCAAGTCTTAGCCGAAGAATCATTGGGTTGAAGAAGTTGTTTGGATCTCTTTGGAAATTCTCACTTTGAAGCCCCAGTTAAGGAAAATAGCCAGTCTCCCAAGGAAATGGTGAGCAAGTGAAACTGATAAGGTGGCTCAGTGGTAGAGCGCTTGCCTTGCATGCCTGAGGCCCTGGGTTCGATTCCTCAGCACCACATAAGCAAAAAGAAAAAAATCCGGAAATGGCGCTGTGGCTCAAGTGGTAGAGCGCTAGCCTTGAGCTGAAGAGCTGAGGGACAGCGCCCAGACCCAGAGTTCAGGCCCCACAACCGGACCAAAAAAAAAAAAGAATTGCAGAAAAAAAAATCCTAAGAGGAAGGCGATTTCCACCTCTCCTAGGTAAACTTCATGGCTGGGGGTGAAGCCTGTTGGTTGAATATAAATTGCCTAATATGCATGGAGCCCTGGGGTCAGTCCCCAGCCCGAAAACCAGTAATGATGATCATGAGGATCAATCCCAGTGAGCACTATCGCTATGTGCTGAGCCCCTGCTCCCTCCCCAGACCACTGCCTGGAGGGACTGACATTTCCTCCCTCTTTGCAGTTTTTCCTTGGCCACCAGGGCTTCCACTTGGTTTGGATTTCTGATTTAAAGACACACGCTCCTGCACAGATAGTAAGGATGACCTGTATGGAGAAGAGGCCGTGAGAGAGCTGGTGACCTCAGAGGGGAAAGTGCACGTGCCGCTGGCTTGCGAAGCCCCACGGCCCGAGCCCTGCCTGAGTAGAGGGAAGAGCAGGAGCAGACTGGGCCTGTCATGTCAGTTGGGCCTGATGATGGCGTGGCTTGAGTGCTGCCCTGTATTCTGTAAGGGGTGCCCGCCAGGGGTGTGGCCCAGTGAGGCTACAAGGCACAGGTGGGGTGGAGCTGAGCCAGAAAACCCAGTTCCCGCATGGCCGTAACCATGCAGCCTGGGCTGGGAACTTCCTTCCCCTGTTACACATTTCCTGAGCAATTACTGTGTGCTGGGTACTCTTGTTAGGGATGCAAATTCGTGAGCAAGATAAACCTCTCTGACTTGGTGGTGGTGATGATGATGGCATTGGACAGAGGGGTCACAATTCCATGTCAGGTTATGAGTACAAGACTTTTTTTTTTTTTTTTTGGTCAGTTGTGGGGCTTGAACTCTGGGCCTGAGCGCTGTCCCTCAGCTCTTCAGCTCAAGGCAAGTGCTCTACCACTTGAGCCACAACGCCACTTCTGGTTTTCTGGTGGTTAATTGGAGATAAGAGTCTCACAGATGTCCCTGCCTGGGCTGGCTTTGAACCTCGTTCCTCAGATCTCAGCCTCCTGAGTAGCTAGAATTACAGGTGTGAGCTACCAGCACCTGGCTCTGTGTGTTGTTTTTTGAGGTGGCAAGTTGTTTGTTCCTGAACTTTGTGATCTTTCCCTGTGACTTACACATCTGGGCTCAGAATCTGTGAAGGCTGCTCTGTGTAAGTGGAGCTTTCGGTTGTGAAAGCTTAAATGTGGTGGTCCCAAGGGTTGGTGCTGCCTCCTTCCTAGAGTCCTCTGTGATCCACGGTGACAGGAAAACAGACATGCCCTAATAAGTGATTTAGATAACGCAATCTGTAGGGGAGGGGCATATGGGCTGGTGGTAGGCAGCCTAGAGGTTAAACAAGGATGGTCAGGGAAGGAAGCTTCATCAATATGAGGAGCCAAAGCAGGAAAGGAAGGGAGAGGAGGGTTGTGAAACCAACAGGAAAAAGAGGTAGCCAATAGAATGACAGGAGTGAAGAGGAAGGCTAAGTCAAAAAAGAGATCTCAGCCAGGCGCAGTGGCTCAACCCTATAATCCTAGCTATTCAGGAGGCCAATAGTTCAAGGCCAAACCCTATGAAAAGTTTGGAAGACCCCATCCCAACCAGTAGAAAGGTCCTGTCAGCCACATGGGAAGTATAAATAAGCTGATCATGGTTCATATTGGCCCAAGCAAAAAGCAAGACCCTATTTGAAAGCCAGCCCCTGGTGACTCATGCCTGTAATCCTAGCTACTTAGGAGGCTGAGATCTGAGGATTGTGATGGAAGCCAGCTGAGGCAGAAAAGTCCCCCTGAGATTCTTATCTCCAATTAACTACTCAAAAACCAGAAGTGGCGCTGTGGCTCAAGTGGTAGAGTGCTAGACTTGAGCAAAAGAAGCTCAGGGGTAATGCCCAGGCCATGAGTTCAAACCCCAGGACCAGCAAAAAAAAAGATGGAGATATATCTCAAGTGGTAGAGAGCTTACCTAGCAAGTGCAGAGCCCTGAGGTCAGCCTCCAGGCCATACATACACGCACATGCGCACGGGACGTGGGAACCACAGTAGGCTTTTTGCCCAGTTGTCCACAGTGGTCCTGGCATCTTAGCTAGATGGTGGTGCTGTTTGGGGAGCCTCAAATAGTTGAGCCCTGGCCTCTCCAGTGCAGTCATCTGGTGGTCTGTCTTCCAGCCAGGCCATAGGAAGATTAGAGCTCTACCACTCCAGCCACATCCACAGCACATCTGCATCCCAGTTAATTGGAAATAAGAGTCTCGTGGACTTTCCTGCCTGGGCTGGCTTTGAACTGCGATCCTCCGAGCTCAGCCTCCTGAGTAGCCACCGGCACCCGGCTCTGTGGGCTTCTTGAGATGATTAGACCATCTTCTGATGTCCCCACTGGCTAGGTCAGGTGCTGGGTCCATCCAGGTGCTCAGTGAGTTTGGAAGGGGCCTCTCAGAGCCTTGCCCGGCCCAGCCCAGGCCCTGGCCTGGGTGTCTTGGGCCAGCTTGTTCTGAGTCAGATGGTTGCTGGGAGTGGGGCAGCGGCAGGCGCGCTGTGTGCGACGCGGACCTGGCCCCGCAGAGGATCTGGTGATGGAGGGTCGCCGCCCTTGGCTCATCATAAACTACCCATCTGCTTGTGTGTGTGTGTGTGTGTGTGTGTGTGTGTGTCACGCTCTGCGTGCCCTCCTCGTGTGCACCGCACGCCTTGCCTCGGGAGCGCTGCCGGCGTGGCCTTTCGGTTAGTTACAGAGGCACAGAGCTCAGCGTGCCCCGTGCCAGGCCCCCGCCTGGCTGAGCCCCCACGCCCCTGGGCTTCTACCCGGACTGGCTGCACCCCAACCTGGCCAGTGCTCCACAGGTGACCCCTCCCCTGCTCGAGGGAGGGGCGCCCCCCTGGGCTGGGGCAGTGCCGAGCCGGGTGGCCGTGGGCTCCACGGAGCCGAGCGCGGCTGTGCCCCGGGCGGCTCCCGTGCGCGGGCACCGCTTCATGACCTGCGCTGAGCGCCGCCGGCCCTGGGCCATGTGCCGGACGGGCTGGAGGGCTGGGCCCTGCACCCTCGAGTCCTCCCCGTCCTCCCCGAGTCCTCTTTGCCCTCCCCCAAGTCCTCCCCAAGTCCTCCCCGAGTCCTCTTTGCCCTCCCCCAAGTCCTCCCCAAGTCCTCCCCGAGTCCTCCCCGTCCTCCCTGTCCTCCGAGTCCTCGCATTCAGGGCTTTTCCAGCCTCCCTGTGTGCAGGTGGTGCGGGTCTGGTGCCCCACGCTGTGAACTTCTGGCTGGGGTCGCTGCTGTGCTGTGCTGACATGGTGTGGGTGTGGCGAGCTGGGGGGAGAGGGGGGAGTGAGACTTGAACCTGGGCAGGGCTGGCTCCGCTCAGATGGCCTGGCATTCCAGCCCTGGCCACCATGGGGTGTCCTCTCCTAGTAGCTGAGGGGTTTCCCCTGGTGTTGGGGAGTGGTGTGTGTGTGTGTGTGTGTGTGTGTGTGTGTGTGTGTGTGTGTGTGCGTGTGTGCACGTGTTCCGGTCTCGAGACGCGCACTCACGGGCAGCTGCGCGGGGCGGGGCTGGGGCAGCTCTGCAGCTTCGCCTCTCATGGTGGAGGGCTGAGGCCTGGCTGGCATCCTGTCCCAGTGATGCCCACCCGTGTCCTCAGTGTCTCCTCCGGCCTGTTGACCCCTCCTGCACGCTTCCTGTGCCCACGCGCATGGCGCTCAGGCCTGCACTGCAGCTCTCCTGGTTGGCAGTGCACAGGGACCACTGTGAGAAGCTGTACTGCGCGGTCTCCGGGGAGAAGCACTTCCTGTTGCACCCCCCAGCGACGGGCCCGTCATCCCGTATGGGAGGAGCAGGTGGAGGGCAGAGGGCGGGCGGTGGGGCTTTGGCTGGCCTGAGGCATAGTGGGGCAGGGGCAGGCCGCGCCCGTGGGACATGTGGACTGGCTGGCATGGGCTGGCAAAGCCCTGAGGCCCCCCCACAGCTCCCCCCTCCCGCTTCACAGCCGCACACACAGGCCACCTACCAGCTCACGGAAGAAGGCGCCTTTAAGATAGTGGATGAAGAAGCCACGGGGAAGGCGCGTCCTCTGCCTGGCATGGGGACGGCAGAACCAGACGGTGAGGAATAGGCACAGACGGTCTGGGGAGGTGTGCTCGGCCCTGAGATGTCCCGTGATCTCTGCCGGCTGTGCCCCAGGTGCCCTGGATCCCTCTGGACCCCCCGGCTGCAGACCTGACCCGGGACCCCAGTTACAGTCAGGCGTGGGCCCTGCACCACACCTGCCGGCTCCGCGGTTCCACCATGCCCAGCAGTCCCAGGCTGCATTGCGGGTGAGGGGCGCCCAGCCGCCAGGGGCAGGCTGTGCCTCTGATGTGGGCTGGTGGGTCTTGGCTTAGAAGAGGGACCATCGTGTCACATTCACGTCCCTCTTCTCCTCGCAGTGAATTTCTGGTACGACGTGGAGTATGATGACCTGGAGCATAGTTCCTTCCAGCCGCTGGGCTGTCACCGTGGCTGCTGGATCAACTGGTGGAGCCCGGTGAGCATTGCCAGGACCGCTGGCCGGGTGCTCCAGGCCCCCGGGGCCGGTCCACTTTAGAGACAGCCCGGGCTTGGAGTGTGTGCTGGCTGATGCTGCGTCCAGCCCGGGCTTGGAGTGTGTGCTGGCTGATGCTGGCGTCCGGCCTGGATTGAAATCAGCCTTGGAGTCTTGTTTTTTCTTTTGGTCGGTCGTGGGGTTTGAGCTCGGCCTGGGCGCTGTCCCTCAGCTCTTCAGCTCAAGGCTAGCACTCTACCACTTGAGCCATAGCGCCACTTTCATTTTCTAGTGGTTCATTGGAGATAAGAGTTTCACGGACTTTCCTACCTGGACTGGCTTTGAACCACAATCCTCAGATCTCAGCCTCCTGAGTAGCTAGGATTACAGGCGTGAGCCACTAGGGCCCAGCTCCTTGGAGAGTCTTGAGATGTGGTCAGGAAGATGAGGAAATGCCAGGCAGACATGGGTGAGGTGTCTGGGAAGGTGCCACCCGGGTCAGGAGTGGGAAGCAGGCAGAGCAGCACCTCACCGTGCCGTGACCGGGGTGAGTCACTGCCTGTCTGCCTCCGTGTCCCCCACATCAGAGGCCTGGTTGGTCGGCCTCGCAGGGCACTGTGGGGAGGGGCGCAGCCGCACAGAGGAGCCGGTCAATAAAGCTAGCCACGTTTATTTGTCCTGATGCTCCCAGTTGCTCTCCTCAGCCTGGTGAGGGCTTGAAGGTTCAGGCAAAAATTTCAGGGTGACTGTAACTGGGGGTGTGAGCCGCTTCCAGGCCTGAGGACTCATCTGTCCAAGCCCTGGGGCAAGCAGGCTGACCTCAGTTTTGGAACTGCCCGGCTGGACCTCAGTGGCTCAGGGCCGCTGATGGCGTCTATAGCTTAGCCCCAGCTTGGTTTATTTTCTCCCCCCAAATCCAGGGCAGCTGATGGGGTCTGGTGCTCTGGAGATAACCTGGGTGGGGAGTGACAAGCCCCGCCCCTCCCAGCCTCCCACTGAAGAAGGCCCTGGTCCTCACGCACACGCTCCTTCCCCAGCCTTCGGAAGAGCAGGAAGAGCCCCCGGCCCTGAGTGCCCAGCCCCAGGCCCCACCCCCGGCCCCCCAGCTCCAAGGGTGGCGCAGCGCAGAGGCGGCTTTGAAGGTCTGTTTTATGTGGCGGGGCCGCTCCCTGGCCGGGTTACGATGGGGCCCGGGGTACTCATCCCCGATTGCTCAGGGCTCCAGTCAGGACCGGGTATTCCTGTCATACAGGCACCGAGAGGTTGTGAAAGGCCCAGCCCACAGCATGGCGCTGGGCCCTCTTCAGCCTTCCCTGGGCTCAGCCCCTGCAGCCGGCGCTGGAGACCCCTCCTCCGCACAGGACTCGGCGGGGCAGGCGGCCGGGAGGCCACGGGGACCTGAGCGCACTGGGGCTGACCTTTGCAGGGTGCCTGGCCCCAGCACAGGCTTGAGATGCTTCATTCCCGGCAGGTGTCTGGCACGGGCGTGGGTGTGGGCTCCCGTGGGTGGAGGCGGCTAGTGGGAGGGGCCGAGGAGGAGCCGTGCCAGCTGGGGCATCGCGGCGCTGTGTTAAAAGCCCACAGTCCCCGGCCCCGTGGCACTGCCCATCGTCCCTGTTTCTGAGGACTCGGCCTCATGGCTCTGGTGAGACCCCAGCCGGGCTCTAGGCCTCCATTTTGAACCTAGCAGAGCTCTGTCTGGGGCCCGTGCGGTGCTGTGCATTAGAGCTGGACTGTGAGCTTCGAGAAGGCTGTTGGCTGGCAGCAGCGGCAGGGAGAGGCAGAGCTCTAGCAATGGGCTCCAGGCCCAGCTCCCCGGCCTGGGGCCTAGAAACGCGGCTCCCTGGCTGCTTTCCTGAGGCCCCTGAGCAAAGCCACTGCTTCGTGCTGTTCTGGCTCAGGGGCTGGGGTGAGGCGGGGGTCTGAGGGCTGCCCCAGGTGCCCTGCTGGGGTGTAGGGTGGGGGGTGGGAGGAAAGACTTAGAGAATGGGACACCCTGAAGAGCCGGTGGGGGTGGGCCGCAGCTAGTCTGCTGTGTGCCAGCGCTGGCCGGGCCTGGCCCCTCCTCTCTGCCTTTGTTTCCTGGTGCATCAGGATGGCATTCTTGGGAGGTTGCGTGACAGGGAGACGGACCGTGGCCTTGGGTGGGCCGTGGGCAGGGGGTGTGGAGATGGCGTGTCTCCATGTCAGCACTCTGCTGCGCCCCAGCGGGTCTGACCGCAGTACAGGCCCAGGCCTGAGGGGCTGCCGTGGCTTCCCTGGTGGCCCGTTCGCCTGCCGCGAACCTGCCCTGTCCCCCCGCTGCAGGCGAAGGTGCCTGGAACGTGCCTGCTCACCGTGCGTGTCCTGCAGGCCCACGGGCTGCCTTCCAAGGACCTGCGTGAGTGGGTGGGCCCGGGGAGGGAGGGTGCGCGGCTGGATGGATCGAGTGGCCAGGCCAGTGGGAGAGGACTGGAGGAGGGTCAGCATGGAGGGAGGGCGTGGGGCCTAGCCCGTGGACACGGGCCTCAGGGCCAGGGAGGAAGTGGGCTCGGGGTGGCTGGACGGGGAGGGCATTTGGCCGTCCCTGATGCCCGCCCCTCCCCGCAGTCACCCCCTCTGACTGCTACGTGACTCTGTGGCTGCCTGCGGCCTCCAGCCACCGGCTGCAGACGCGCACCGTGAAGAACAGCCGGAACCCCGTCTGGAATCAGAGCTTCCACTTCCGCATCCACCGCGAGCTCAAGGTGGCCCCGCCGTCCCCCCCTCCTGCTCTCCCCGCGCCCCCCGTCCTCCAGCCCTGCCCACCTTCCCGCTACCCTCCCTCCCCAAGCCTGCTGACCGCGCTGCCCTTTCCAGAATATCATGGAACTGAAGGTCTTCGACCAGGACCTGTTGACCCAAGACGACCCGCTGCTGTCCGTGCTGTTTGATGTGGGGACCCTGCGAATGGGGGAGTCCCGGCGCCAGAGCTTCTCGCTGAGTTCTCAGGTAAGACTGCTCAGCACCAGGCCACGGCGCCCGGCGGCTGGGGGCCTGGCCCCCGGGGAGCCGCCTCACCCAGGCCCTCCCGCCCCCGGCCGGCCGCCTTTCTTCCTTTTTAGAGGTGATGCGCACACGAGTTAGTTTGAAGTCAGGCATCCCCAACCTTCCTTCTTGGCTTCTGAGGAGGGGCAGCTTCTTTAGAGCACCTGGAGCGCGACCGTGCCCTTCCCAGCCACGTGGCCCCAGCAGCGCTCGCTGCTTCTGGGTGGGAGTCTGCGCGCAGACCCGCGCGCGCCCTCCCCAGCCTCTCCCGTGGCCTCTCCCTCTCTCCAGGTGCAGGAGCGGCTGGAAGTCGAATTTCGTCTGCAGAGCCTGTGAGTTGGCCGGGGCAGCGTGTGGTGGCGGCAAGCCCCTGGGAAGGGCAGTGCCAGCCGCTCACGCCCTTGCCACGGAGGAGGAGAGCGGGGTCAGGGGAGAACCGAGGCTCTTGCCAGGGGTCACTGGGCTTCTTTCCAGGCCAGCTGAGGCGGAGCGGCTCACCAGCAACGGCATCCTGGTAGTGAGTGAGAGCGGCTCTTTGGGGGTGCCCGTGGCCGCCGGGGGGCTTCCTCTGTTCCATACACTTGCTCTGCTCCCTGGCCGGAAGCCGGGGCTGCCACCCCCTGGGTGAGGATGACCCGAGCAGGGGCCTCCTCGTGGCACCTTGTGAGGGTGTGGATCTCCAGCGTGTGCCCGGGCCAAGGGCTGAGGAGCGGGAGGCAGGGTGCGGGGAAGAAGGGGCTGCAGAGGGACAGGCTGGTGCCTAAAGGGCTCGCTTGACTTCTCAGGCCCGGGAGCTGTCGCGCTTGCATGTTCAGCTGGAGCAGATGGGGCCCCCAAAAGGTCAGTCCCCGACCCTCACGTCCCTCATTCTAGTTACGGCCTGCACCTGCAGCTGGAGTGGGTTCAGGGGTGCTGGGGCCTGGGCCGAGTCACACTTCCAGGTCACGGGGGCTCAGTGAACGGAGACCCTGTCCCTGACTCTGCACCCCATTGGCAGAGTCAGAGGGCAAGGTCCAGCTGGTGCTTCCCGGCGCCTGTGAGGGCTCCCAGGAGGCCTGTGTGGGCACCGGCTCGTTCTGCTTCCACTGCCCGGCCTGCTGGGAGCCGGAGCTGAGCATCCACCTGAAGGTAGGGCCTCCCTCCCCAGCCGCCACCCTCACCGTCCTCAGCGCCCCGGCCCGGCCCAGCCCCGTTTCCCCAGTGCCCCGCGCCCTGCTACGCCCCCTGGAAGCCTTGGGCTGAGTGTGGGGTGAGGTTGGCTTCCTTGGTGGCTTGAGGGAGGGAGCGGTGGAGTCCTGGCTAAGAGAGGAAGGTGACGGCTCCTGGGTGTCCTCGCTTTGTCCTCGCAGGACGACCCCCAGCAGCGGCTGACGGTGCCCCTGCAGGCTCTGCCCTCCCGCCAGTCGGTGCGGCTCGTCTTCCCCACGTCCCAGGTACCGCGCCCCAAGGGCTGGGAAGCTGGACAGAAGCCCCGGGCCTTCCTGTGAAGGCGGCCAGGGCTGAGTGGAAGGTGCTGTCAGGTGGTGGGCAGCTTTTGATGCAGGTGCTTGTGGATTCCAGGAGCCCTTGATGAGGGTGGAGCTGAAGAAGGAAGAGGGGTGAGCGGCTGGCGTGGGGGGGCTGCAGGCCGGTGTCTGGTAGGGGGCAGGTGTCAGGACACGGGCAGTGGGCAGCACCCATGCCGGGAATGCCGTGATTGCTGCACCTGGCCCTCGTGGGTGGAGCATGGGGCCGGGAGGAAGCTCTGGGGGGCAGGCTGGGTTCTGGCTTCCCTGTGGCTCTGCGGGCGGGGTGGGGGACGGCCCAGGGCAAATACCTGGAGAAGCAGGTGAGGAGCTGCCCAGAGCCAGAGTTTGCCTCAGAGAAGGCAGGAAGCCAAGGGGAGGGGGCTCTGAGTGTCCTCAGCAGAAGAGCCGTGTCCGCCCTCCCGGGCCTGGCAGCCGCCTTCCTGTCCCCTGGCATTCTTGGCGTTGGGGGGAGGGAGAAAAGGTGGCAGGCCTCACGCTGGGAAGCTGGGTGCCTCTTCAGGGCGCATACGGCCCGGCCTGCAAGTGCTCCCTCCACTGCGGTCCACACACCACGTGCAGTGGCGACTTTGAGGAGCGGGTGGAGGCTTGGCCGGGGAGACCCCCAGCTTCCCTTCCTGTGGTGCTGAGTTGCTTTGTGGACTCTTTGCCCTAGACCCGGGGAGCTGGCCGTGCGGCTGGGCTGTGGGCTGTGCCCGCAGGAGCAGGCCTTCCTGCGCAGGAGGAAGCAGGGGGTGGCCAAGGCCCTGAAGCAGGTCCTGCAGCTGGATGGAGACTTGCATGAGGATGAGGTCTGGGGCTCAGCAGCACTGGGTCGTGCCCCCCCCCCCCCCCCCCCCGCCCCGGGCTTGTGCAGGTTCAGGGCCGAACACTGGAACATCGGTGCCGATCTAGGCTTGTAGCTGCCTCCTGCCTTCTCTGCTTCCTAGGGGCTCTTCTCCCTAGGGAGTGGTTTCCAGCATGAAGGGAGACTTAAGAGGCGGCCTTGAGCTTCCAGAACGTGATCCCAGAACACTTGGGCTGGGAAGAGATGAGGCCTGCTGTGTAATGGAGAAGCCCGCTCTGGGGCTATTTCTGGCATCCTCAGTGGGGCCAGCTGAGGCACTCTGCGGAGCCCTGATCCCAGCTCAATGCACCTCAGGGGCCCAACAGTGAAAATGGCCTCCAGCCGCAGCGCCACTTCCTCCTGGAAGGCGGCCTTTCCCACCCCGATGCCGACCATCCTCTCCTCCAGGTCCCAGTAGTAGCCGTTATGGCTACTGGCGGCGGCACCCGGGCGATGACTTCCTTATACGGGCAGCTGGCCGGCCTGAGGGAGCTGGGCCTGTTGGACTGCGTCTCCTACATCACGGGGGCCTCGGGCTCCACCTGGTGAGCTGGCTGAGCCGGAGCCTGCAGGTGGCCCGCGGGGCTTGGGGGAGAAGTGGGTGGGGAGGAGCATCTTGGACGCCATCGGCCTCAGCAATGGAGAGGCTGGAAAATGCCGTGTCGGGAGCCTCCAGGGGGCCTGCGGGACACTGCCAAGACTTGTGACAACCCTCCCTCACCTTCCCCGGCTTTGCCTTTTCCCAGGGCTTTGGCCAACTTGTATGAGGACCCAGAGTGGTCTCAGCAGGACCTGGCAGGGCCCACCGCGTTGCTAAAGGCCCAGGTGACAAAGAGCAAGCTGGGTGCGCTGGCCCCCAGCCAGCTGCAGCGGTACCGGCAGGAGCTGGCCGAGCGCGCCCGCCTGGGCCATCCGCCCTGCTTCACCAACCTGTGGGCCCTCATCAACGAGGCCCTGCTGCATGAGGAGGTACGGGGAGCGGGGCTAGGCCGAGGTCTGGTGGACAGGTGTAGAAGGTTCTGGAAGATGCAGCTCAGCTTCTCACCTTCTTTCCCCAGCCCCAAGACCACAAACTCTCAGATCAACAGGAGGCCTTGAATCGTGGCCAGAACCCTCTGCCTATCTACTGCGCCCTCAACGCCAAGGCGCAGGGCCTGACGACCTTTGAATTTGGGGGTGAGTGAGATGTGTCCCTGGGCCGCCCCCTCCCCCCCCACGTGGCCCTCTGCCAAAGTCCCTCGGCTGTTGGGGCTGCGGAGGGCGCTGGGGTCTGTCCTGCGAGGCCTGAGCCCCTGGGCTGCGGCGGGAGCTGAGGCTGTGGCCTCTTCACAGAGTGGTGCGAGTTCTCCCCCTACGAGGTGGGCCTGCCCAAGTACGGGGCCTTCATCCCCTCCCAGCTCTTCGGCTCTGAGTTCTTCATGGGGCGGCTAGTGAAGGAGCTCCCCGAATCCCGCATCTGCTTTCTGGAAGGTGAGGGGTGTCGGGAAGGCCAGGGAGAGGGGGGAAGGATGGCCCTGGGCTTGCCTCGCTTGGCTGCGGCACCGTTTCCGTCGGGAAGGGCCACGTTGCCACAGCAGTTGACTAATCCACTCGGGGCCTCTCCCAGGCATCTGGAGCAACCTGTACGCCGCCAGCCTCCAGGACAGCCTGTACTGGGCCTCAGAGCCCAGCCAGTTCTGGGACCGCTGGGCTCAGGACCGAGCCAGCCTGGGTAGGTGGCTGGGCCAGATGGAGGTGTCTGTCACTGTCTCCCCCCCCCCCCCCCCCCCGTCACCATTTCCTGACACCCCTGCTTTTGCCTGTGCAGACAAAGAGGAGGTCCCCCAGCTAAAGATGGAGGAGCCGCCCACAGCAGCCGGCAGGATCGCCGGGCTTTTCACCGACCTCCTGACAAAGCGGCCGCTCGCCCAAGCCACCCACAACTTCCTGCGCGGCCTCCAGTTTCACAAGGACTATTTCCAGCACCCGCACTTCTCCGCCTGGAAAGGTGCCACGTCTCTGCGCATGTCCTGGCGCTCAGCCCCCTGCCCATGGTGCCTCAGGCGCTGGCAGGCCACTTCCCCTGGCACCATTAACCCTGCCACCTAAAGACGGGGGGACAGCAGCCGCGGGGGCATGCACGGGAGGTGGGGTGCTTGCTCGCGAGGCTGGCAGGGGCCGAGTCTCTGCCAGAGAACCCCGCGGCCCCCGGTGACAGTTGCCACTTCTCACCCCTACCCCAAATCTTTGCAGCTACCAAGCTCGATGGCCTCCCCAACCAGCTGACGCCCGCGGAGCCCTTCCTGTGCCTGCTGGACGTGGGCTACCTCATCAACACGAGCTGCGCGCCCCTCCTGCAGCCCGCCCGGGACGTGGACCTCATCCTGTCACTGGACTACAACCTGCACGGAGCCTTCCAGGTTGGGAGGGGCGGGCTGCCCCGGCCTTGGGGCCCTGGCCACGCCCAGCTTGCTTTACTCGGTGGCAGTGGGCACCACGTGGTTCTGGGGTGCACGGGCACTGCCCCGGGGCGGGGTGCCGGCCCCTCCACTGCACCTGAATCCCTGGGAGGTCTCGGCCCGCACAGCCCCTGCTGGGAGCTCCTGGGGCTCGGGAGAGGGTGTTGCAGGCACAAGGTCGCGGGCTCCGGTGTGGGGGCCCAGAGAGGCCGCCAGCCTTTGGGGGCCTGTGTGCTGTTCAGTCGGCCCACAGGGGCGCCCTGAGATCCATCCCCCCCCTCCGGCCGGCCCGCAGCAGCTGCAGCTGGTGGACAGGTTCTGCCAGGAGCAGGGGATCCCGTTCCCCCACATCTCACCCACGGCGGAGGAGCAGCGCGAGCCTCGGGAGTGCCACGCCTTCCATGACCCCGCCCGGCCCGAAGCCCCTGGCCTGCTGCACTTCCCTCTGGTCAACGCCTCATTCCGAGAGTTCTCAGCCCCCGGTGCGTCCCCGCTCCCCCACCTCTCCTCCACGCCCCCCGCCCGTCCCCCTCATCACCTCTTCTCCACAGGAGTGCCACGGACACCCGAGGAGAAGGCGGCCGGGGAGGTGAACCTGTCTCCTGCGGACTCCCCCTACCACTACACAAAGGTGACCTACAGCCCAGAGGACACGGACAAGCTCCTGAGCCTGACCCGGTACAACATCCTCTGCAGCCGGCCACAGCTGCTCGAGGCTCTGCGCCAGGCCGTGCAGCGGCGCAGGCAGCGCAGGCCCCGGTGATGGCGGCAGGTGAGGCCTCCGCCCCGCCCAGGGCCGGGGATGGGAGCCGGGGACCCGGCTCATGCTGTAGCTTGGCCCGGCCACCTCCCTGGAGGAGCAGGGGAGGATGTACTCCTGGTAGAGGTGGGGACAAAAGGGCACACTCTGTGTACATGAATTCAAAGCTCTTTATAGACAGACAGTGTGGTGTGCGGTTCTTGCAGGTGCACGCAGCCCGGGCTCCCGGGGAAGGGGCCTGGCGCACACAGATCTTTGCCCAGACACGGACAGAAAGGAGAGGCCACAGTCGGGAGGCTATGTTGTCACACGAAAACACCAAGAGAGCACTGACAACACTAACCACGTGGCCACGGGGAGGGCGGGACTCCTCACAGAAGCAGTGTCCAAGCAGCCAGGGAGGGACAGACAGACGCACGCCTGCGCCTGCGGGCCTCACTGCAGCACGCGGTTCGTCAGGGCCCGGGTCTGTCAGGAGAACAGAGTAAGCGACTCTGCCTTGCAGTCCAGGTTCTGGAAAGTCACGGAGCAGCCAGGGGACAGAGTGAGCCAGCACTAGGGGCCCAGCCCTGTCGGCCTCATCGGGGACATAGTGGAGGATTGAAGCCGACCCCGGGACCCGCGAAAGCAGGGCGTGCCCCGCTGCCCCGCACCCAGGACAAGGCAAGCTCTCCCTCCCTGCCGGGACCCTCTCCAGAGCCCCTCAGCCAGGCGCTGCTGGAGCCGACGTCTCCTCCCCGGGGGACGGCGTGTGCTCAGCCCATGCTCTCACTCTGGACCTGGAGGTCAAAGGGCTCTGTGGAAGCCACCTAGGGACAGATGAGGACCGGGTCACAGATTTCCCTCCTGTCCTGTTCCCTGAGTCTCATCTCCAGTCCCCCAGATTCCATCTTGGGCCCCTCCCCACGCTGTCTGACTTCTCCAGCCTCGCAGCTGAGGGCTGGCGTGGTGGCCCCCCAGCAGCTGGCCTGGCACCTGCCGGGTGAGGGGCGGGGTCGCCCTTGTCCACAGTGCCCGGGGCTCTGCACCCTGCACTGGAGCGGCTGCTGCTGCTGCGGCCTGGCACCCACTCCTTTGCCCCAGGGCTGTGCAACCCGGGGCTGAGGTACTGGGCCCGGTGCCAACAGCGATGAGCCCCCGTGTGGAAGGTAGGCCCTGCCCGCTTCATCCCACGCCCTGGGCCTCCATGCCCTGCTCAGGGTGCGGGCTGGGGTCCGGCTGCGCACGTGCTAGTAACAGTGAGCAGGGCGGGGTCCAGTGGGGACCCCCGGCTGCAGGTCCCCCATCTCAGCTAGCTGTGTGCCTGCCCCGTCTTGGGAGAGGCTGGGGGTCCCAGCCGAGCAGCCGGGCCACGGGTCCTGGCGGTCTGGCCTCTCCTACCACGACAAGGGCCGTCTCTCTCCCTCTCTGCACCTGTCCACAGCGGCGCCCGGGCTTGCGGGGCATTGGATAGAGAAGGGGGGTCCTGAGGGGAGCACTAGGGAGGCGTGGGGAGGACTCGGGCTGGCCGTGCCCATCCCAGCCTGAGCTCGCACCTCTAATGGCGTCCACAGCTGGGCAAACTTCTCCTCCTGGGCTGCCAGCAGCTTCTCCAGGTCCCTGTGTCTGTGGAGCAGCTGCTCCACATCAGACACTGAGTTCTAGGGAGTAGCAGTCGGTGAGGCCCAGCTCCTGGGATCCCCTCCGCCCCAGCTCACACCCAGCAGAGAACGGGATGCGGACGGGGTTTCTACTCACCCCGCAGCTGGGCTCCAGCAGCAGCGGGCCCTCCCTGGCGGCCAGCCAGGCCTCGGCCCGCTCCAGCCCCCGCCGCCGCTTCTGCAGCCCGCGGCTGTCTTCCCAGCGCCCCAGGCACCGGGCCCAGGCCGCGCGCAGCCCCTGCAGCCGCGTGTCCAGCTCCTGCAGGTGCTCTGCCACCTGGCGGAGAGGGGCCGAGGAGGGCCGAGGCCGGGACGCGCGCCCCCCCTCGCCTCCCATTCTGCTGCGAGTCCCAGGGCTGTGGACAACTTGCTCTCACCTCTGAGGACAGGAAGTGGCCGCTGTCCATCAGCTGCTGCCCTTCCTGCCGAATGTTCTGGGCTTGGACGCAGTGCTCCCGGAGTCCGCGCTCCAGCTCCTCCGGCTGCCCCAGCAGCTGCTCGGCTCCCGCCATGTCTCCAGCCAGCTCCGCGGACGACACCAGGGCCTGCCTCTCCTCAGTCCATGCTCTGCGGGGCGGGGAAGGACGAAGCTGCTGGGCAGGGGTACAGAGCAGCCGGGGGGTGCCCGGGACGGCCCCATCACCCTGACCCGACCACCACCTACAGCAGCTCCTGGCAGCGAGTGAGGAAGGCCTGGCCCTGGGCTGCCTGCTCCAGCCGCCGGCCCCGCTCCCGGGCCTCGGCCTGCAGGGAGGCCCAGGCGCCCTGCAGCGTGGCCAGCTGCGTGGTCAGGCCGTCCTGGGCGGCGGGGTGCTTCTGGCCCAGGCGGCGAGCGTCCATCTGGATCCGCGCCACCTCCTTTCCGATAGCCTCCAGTTCCCTCTGTCCCGGGACACAAGGTAACTCCTGTGACCCCACGCCCGGGCCCAAGACCCTGGGCCCGGAGGGCAGAGGGCTGGGATTCTGGGGGGCGCCAAGCAGCCCCCAAATGCAAGGCCTTGGTCTATGGCCTTTAGCAGATGGGCCTGGTACGGATGGGGGGCGAGCCTAAAGCAAGGCCGCACCTGCAGGCGCCGCTGCCGCTGCGGGGCGGGCTGCAGGCCTCGGCCGCAGGCGGGCTCCAGCTGGGCGCGCTTCTCCTGCATCCAGCCCTGCAGCTCGCGTGCGGCCTGCTCGAAGCCACGCACTTCACGCGCTGCAGCCAGGCTCTGGAAGGGAGCGAGGACCGCGGCGCTCGGCTCCGCCACTGTCTTGGGGCTCAGACTCCCCTAAGACAGTGGCCTCCGGGGCCAGCTCCTTACGGAGGACGGGCTCCTGGCCCTGGGTTCAGAACCTCTCCCAGCTCTGGCTCCGCGTGGTGGTGGACCATGTCGGGGGTGTCGCCAGGTGGTGAGGGGCGCTCAGGGCCCCTCTCCTGAGAGGCCGGTGGAGCCCCTGCCCTCTGGGGGACCGCTCCCCTACCCCCGGGGAGCAGAGTAGTTAGCCTCTTGGGGTCTGGGTGGGTGGGCCCACCCAGGCCCCATAGGCAGCACTTCTGAGGCTCTGGAGACCGCTCTCCCCCCCCACCAGAGCACCGCCTGCTGCAGGTCTGACTGCCCGGGCTGGGGACTGGGCAGCTGTGCAGTGAGGCTGAGTGAAAGGGGAAGGGGGGGAGGGAGGGGCCGGGAGGAAGGGCTAAAGGTGGAGGGGGGGGGGTGATGTGTCTCCGGCTCAGCCGAGGACTGGAGGGCTGGAGGTCTGAGATGGAGGCTTCCATCCTCTCGCTGCTGAGCTGGACGCAGCCCCGCCCCGCCCCACCCCTCCCCTGGACCTCTACCTGGGTGCGGGCTTCCATTGCCTGCTCCAGCCTCTCCCAAGCGGCCTGGATAGTGCTCTTCTGGGCTTGAATCTGGGGGTCGCACCTTGATATTCCTTGTTCCAGGGGGGCCGCCAGCTCCCACAGGGCCTGCAGCTTGGCCTGCCCCAGGCTCTGGACCTCGCTTCTGAAAGCTTCAAACTTCTCTTGCAGCACCTGCAGGGCCACGGGGCAGGAGGCCGGAGTGGCTGCCAGAGCCCAGAGGCTCGAGAGGGGCCCTGCATCCTGCACCCCTGGAGATGACCTCACAGCATCCTGGACCTTGTCCCTGTGTGGGAAGCCACCCAGGCCCACAGGGCCTCACCTGGACGCCGTCCAGGTCTTGCCCGCAGTCCTGGGACTCCACGGCAGCCAGCGTGGTGGTGAGCCAGGCATCGAGCAGCAGCGTCTCCCGCTGCAGCTGGTGTCGCTGCAGCTGCTCCTGCAGGCCCCGGCTCCGGCCCTCCGCTCTCCAGAGCAGCCGCTCGTGGGCCCCTGTCACCGCCTGGAGCTGGGCCTGCACCCGGGGGCTGCAGCACAGAAGATGGCCTGGCCCCGAGCCCTTCCTCCACGTGCTGGGCTAGCCTCAGCCAGCTCTGGGGGATACCCTTGGCTCTGGCCTACCTGTCTGGATTCTGTCTGCTCTCCAGGAGGGCAGCTGTCTGCCGCAGCTGCTCGATGTGCTGGCTGAACCCCTCCAGGTCTCTCTTGATGGCCTCCAGCCGCCGCAGAAGGGCCTGTGTGGCTTCGGCATGCCGGCCCATGTCCTCACTGTCCAGAGCACGGCTCCGCTCCGCCAGCCACGACCCCGCCTCCAGGAGCTGGGGGACAGGAGAGCACAGCCCTGTGCTCCTTTCCCACCCCCCGGGCGCAGATTGCCACGTAGACCTCAGCTCCCCGAGCCTGTGCGCGTCCCGCAGCAGTGCCCGCGATCCCGAAGGGCCACGAGCTCAAGCGGGTTTTAACATGAAGCTCCCGGTGGTTTTTCCTCCATGCAAAATAAACCCCTCTTTCTGGTTCTGAGGCATGGCTTTTTATTCATCACGTAAGACAATCAAACCACATCCTAGTCCCTGTCCTACGCTGTTCTTAGTGCTTGCCCTTCCTTTGCAGTTCAAACAAGCGATTCTGGTCAGCTAAGAACCCGCTTAGAAGAAATAGAGAAACAGAATGACCTTGCGGCTTGCTTTCTGGACAGTCTGCCTAGCAAGGACAGACAGGAGGCCCGGAACCCCAGCACCCACAAGCCAGCCCTTCCCCCCCCCCAAGTCCCACCTCTGTCAGGAACTGCTGGGCCTCGCGGGCCTGCTGCAGCATCAGCCTCCGCCGCGAGGTTGCCGCCCGCAGCTGCGCCGTGGCCTCCTCCAGCTGCTGCACACGCGCAGCCACCTCCATGGCGGCGAAGTGCCCGGCCTGCAGGAGCTTGCGCCCCGTGCCCACCACGACCTGGCTCAGCGCCTCGTGGCTGCTCATTTCACACTCCAGGTTCTGCGCAGGGAGAACCCCGGGTCCCTGAGTTTGATCTGCCACTCACAGTGCCCCCCGCCCTGGCTCCCCAGGAATTCAAGGGACTTCCAAAGTCTCCAGCGCCCATTTCCCCCCCCCCCCCCACAGCTGGGAGCCCCGACCCCCCAGTGCAGCCAACCTGGTGCTTCTCCTGCAGGTGCTGGACGGTGCTCAGGCTCTGGCCAGTGTCTTGGGTGGTGGCCAGGGGCAGCTTCTCCCGCACCCAGGCCAGCTCCTCGTCGGCATCCCTGAGGAACTGCAGGAGGAGGTCCTGGGCCTCCAGCTGGGTCCTGCGCTCCTGCAGAGCCTCTTGGAGGTTCTGGAACCTGCCATAGTGGAGGGGCTGTGATGCCACCCTAAGTCCCTACTGCAGGCGGGAGGGAGGCTGGGAGCTGAGGCAGGGGTGCAGGGGTGCAGGGGTGGAGGGGGCGGGCAGCTTGCTGCAGCCAGGACAGATCTACCTCTGCAGCAGCTGCCGGGCCTGCTCCTCGGTGGCTCCATCCAGGCGGTGGTCTTCCCGCACCAGGGCCTGGGCCTGCCCCGCCCGCCTGGCTAAGGCCGCTTCCAGCTCAGCCTGGGCCCGCAGGAGCTCCTCCACTTCGGGCAGGTCCCGGCCCCTGACTGGGGCCCTCAGCTCCGCTTCCACAGGCTCCAGCCAGCGCTCTAGTTCCTCCACGCTCCGCTGCAGGTGCAGGGCCTGGGGCAGGGCGGGAGTGAGCACCAGGGGAGAGCCTGGAGCCCGTGCACCTGTCCCTGGCCGCCGCAGCCTCACCTCGCGTGCCTCCTGTAGCTGGGCCTCCTTCCTCTGGCAGCTGGCTTGCAGCTCACCCCACAGCTCCCCGAGCTCCTGTAGCCGCTCTCTGACCGCCTCGGGGGCCTCGCAGCCGCCCTGCAGCAGCCTCCGCCCCTCCTGCGCCCAAGGCCCACGTTAGGCTCAGGGCTGCTGGCACCGGGGCACGTGCCCGCTCCAGAGACTGCCCCATAGCTGCGGCAATCTTGAGAGCAAGTTTCTAAATCTCCATGTGCCTCTTTCTCCTCCTCCACATAACGAAGACAATAATGATTATGTGTTCAATGCCATAAGGCATATGGGGTGCTAAGCAGAGTGCTTAATAACCAAAGGGCCTGGGCCGGCCTGGCTTGGCAGGTGGAGAGGGAACGTGAAGTTGGCTGGTCACCCGCAGGATTGCTGCATGTGAGCGCAGCCTGTGGTTATGCAAAAGGCTCTGCCTTTGGAGAGGAGATGCAGGAAGCAGCTGCACGTCCCGCCTCCGTGCCAGCACAGAGCCCGCACGGAGGGCACAGGCTGGGCCGTCAGCCCTCATCGCTGTGCAGTGCGGGGCCAGCCCTGGGCTCTGCGCCCCCTCCCGGCCCTCAGCCCCGCAGGGCCTCACCGTCTGCAGCTCCTGTTGCAGGTGGGCGCTGGCGTCCAGCTCGGCCTGCAGATTCTGCTGCTTCCCCAGCTGCACCGGCAGCGTGGCGGGGTCCTGCCCCCGCTCCTCCAGTGCTACCAGCTTCTCCCTCAGCCACGCGGCCACCTGAGCACACAGGAAGCGTCAGCTCTGCTCCCTCCAACTCCGGTGCCCTGGAGGGAAGCCCCCTCCCCCAACGCTCCCACCCCACGCAGGGGAACCTCGTCGCAGTCCTGCAGGAAGGTCTGCAGCCGCTTCAGTTCCTCCAACCAGAGGCCCCGAGTCCTCGCTCGCTCCACGAGTGCTTCTTTCCTGCAGAAGGAGGGGCTCATGGGCCAGGCTCGCCCCTGGGACATGGAGGAGTGTGGGGTGCCTAGCCCTGCACCAGAAATAATGACATCCACCGCTCTGTGTGAGTGCCAGGTAGAGGCTGAATTGGGGCTCACCACTGGAGAGTGAACGCACAGCTTCCCGAGCTGCCTGGACAGAGATCCTGTGCGCACTCCCATGCAGATGAGTTGCTGTGCACAGCACCCACGATCGCTCTTTGAGCCGTGGCACTGATTTTTTTCCTTTTTTGGCCTAGGCAGGCCTGGAACTATGATTGTCCTATCTCTGCTTCTGAACTAGCTGGAATTACAGGCATGAGCCACCTGACCTGGCTTGTTCCCCCAAAGTCTTACATTGATCCCCAGAATGTGACCGCATCTAGAGACAGGTCTGTAAAGAGGTAACTAAGGTAAAATGGGGTCACCGGAGGGGTCGGGATTGGGCATCTTGTAAGATGTCCCCAGAGGAACAGCCATGGAGGGACACAGGAGGAGGCCACCACCCTCCACCCAAGGGACGTAACTGTCAGTGCTTGCCACCCCAGAGCCATCCACACCTCAGAAGCACTGCCTGGCATCTGGCCAAGGTGCTGTGGGCCTCCGGGTGTCCATCCTGGTGCAGGCCGCGGGCAGTGGCCTCCAGAGCAGCCATCTTTTCCTCCTGGGCTCGCAGGCCCTCCTCCAGCCTCCTGTGCCTCCACACAAGGCTCTCCAAGTTGGCCAAGGGGTCCTAGTAGGAGGGAGAAGTCAGTGCTGATCATGGGGCTGCGCCCCTGCCCCCAAACCCTCCCCCACAACCCAACTGCCTGGCCCAAACCAATTGCCCGAGCCCCGCGGGCTGCTTCTGGCTGGCTCTGGGACAGTGACATTTATGTGTGAGCCTTGTGTCAATTCCCACGCGCTCCCCACTGCTGGTGAGACCATGTGAGCCCTTAGTTCTGAGATGCTCTCGAGCTCTGCTCAGCTCGTACACGAGAGACAGGAGCAGCGACCTCCGCGTGCAGGGCGAGGAGGGCAGAGGTGAGGAGGGCCCGGGTGTGAGCCCTGCTCACTCACTCCCCGCTGTCTAGGCCTGGGGGTCTCCCGCGTGGCCTGAGCTGGGCGTGTGGGGGGAGGGCAGCTGCTGGGAGATGATGTGCTCAGGGCAGGGGAGGCGTCCTGAGGCTGGGCCCCCCTCCTGGCCCCTACCCCGAGCCCCTCGGCGGCGGTTTCCTCGCTGCGCAGCCAGCGCTCCACCTTCTCCACAGAACGCAGGAACAGCTGCGGGAGCGAGGCGGGGCGAGCTCAGCGCAGGGGTGACACTTCTGCCTCCCGCGAGGCATCCCCTCTGGCTCTGGCGTTGCCCGGGGCTCTGGGCGGCGGGGGGACGCAAACCTGCAGCGCCAGGGCCTGCTGCAGCTGCAGCTCGCGCTCCTGCCAGGCTCCCCGCAGGCTGCTCAGCTCCTGCTCTAAGGCAGCCAGGGCCTGGCGAATGCCAGCGGCCAGGGGGTGTCCGGTGGCCAGCAGTCGCTGCCCGGTGCTTCGGACCACGTTGGCGCAGTCCATGTGAACCTCCAGCTCCACCTGCGGCAGGGCTGCGCTCAGATCCCGGCAATTGTTGGGGGCCCAAAGAGAATAAAGGAGGGCAGGAGACAGAAAAGACCGGGACAGGTGGGGGCAAGTGGAGAGGCGGCACTGCACTGAGGCCCCGCCCCTCGCTGCTCACCTTGCATTCCCGGTGCTCCTCCAGCATGCGCAATGCTCCCTCGGGGCTGCAGGGGGCGCCCTGAGCACTCATGTCGGCCCGCAGCTCCCGGAACCACACCTGCAGCGCCTGCACAGACGCCTGGAACTTCTGAGCTTGGTGCTGGGCCTCCAGGGACTCCCTCCTGGTCACAGGGCTCATCAGCTAGTCCCCGGGCCACCAAGTCCTTGTCCCCGGGCACCAGCCCCCCCCCCAGGGGTCACCTCCAGGCCCTTCATCCCTCAACCCCCCCCCCCCCCCCCCCCCCCCCCCCCGCCGCCAGGTGCCGGGAATTCATGGTGACATGACCGACTCTTGGGGGGAAACAAGTGCGGGGAGCGGGGCGCAGGGCGCAGATGGGTGGGTGAGGGCACGAGGCCGAGCGCTCCTACCGCTTCCGGACCTCGCTGCGGAGCCGCCGCCAGCCGCCCATCAGCTCCTGCTGCTTGCGGCTGAGGCTCTGGGCTGCCACGCAGCTCCTCCGGCAGAGGCGCCCCACTCTGTCCTGCAGGGACTGCATGGAAGACGGGGGTCAGAGGCCTCCAGGGCCCCCGGGGAGGCCCTGGTAATGGGAAACCCCGGCGCCCAGAGTCCTGAAGCTCCTCCCCCGGTGCCAAGGGCCGCCCATGGAGATGCCCGGGCGGCCTGCGTCCACCCCGGCCGCGCACCTCCACCTGCGCCTGCATGAGCTCCACCTCCTGCTCCAGCGTCTCCTGCGTCCCCAGCAGCCTCTGCGCGCGCTCCGCATCCGCCTCGCCCACCGGGGCCTGGGTGGCGGCTGCCTGCGGGCCGGGGGCTCAGCTGCAGCCGCCACCACGGGGAGGCCCAGCACCCCCTGCCCCCCGTGTGGAAAGCAACCCCCCGCGTGGAGGAAGACTGAGGAGGGCCCTGGTGTTTCATCACTGTGTGCCACGCTTCCAGAAGAAAGCAGCGGGCCTGGCTGCGGTGTGTGCTCGGGAGAGGACGCCGTCCGCGCCGTCCGCCCCGGGCTCCACTTCTGCCTCGGGTAGCTCTGCGCTCACCGGCCTGTGCTGTGGCCGACGCCACCCCGAGGCAAATCCTGCCGTGGGGTCCGGCTTGGCTCCAGCCTCTGCACTCTTAGGGCAGGGGAGACACGGGGGGGGGGGGGGCGCAGCCTGCAAGCTGTGTCAGCTGCCGATGTCTCAGGAGAGTCCGGGAGACCCAACGGGGCCCGAGCCCCAGCTCACAAGCAGAGGTGACCTGCTGGTGGCAGTCCCGGGACACGCATGCGCAGGGGACCCCTTGCCACTTACTTTTTCCCCAATCCTCTCCATGACCCCGTCCAGTTCCCGGGACAGGGCGTGCATCTCCAGGGCGCCTTCCAGCTGCTGCTGGTACTGACGCAGGTTACCATGGAAACTGGTCCACCTAGCCCCAGAAGGATGGCTGTGAACCTCGGAGTTGGAGGGTGGGGGGCTCTGCCTCTCCTGGCCCCACTGCCCTGCCCGGTCGGGGACTGGCCTGTCGCTGAGCTGCTGCTGCCTCTGGCACACGATCCTCACTTCCTCGGGGTCCCAGTTCCGGAGCTGCAGTGACAAGTCCTCGATGCGCCTTGTGTACGCGTGGCCCGCTGTGCGCTGCGGGGAAAGGGTGCACGTGAGGGCCATGGCCAGGCCAGGTCACAGCCCCTCCTGCTGGAGCAGCTGTGAGCCCTCTGCGAGTGGGGATGGAAGCCTTTCACCCAAATCACCCACGCTTATCACCTGGCCACATATGGTCTCCAAATTTCTGTTCTCTGTACCAAGATGAGACATGGGAATTTATGCCTTGTGGACTGAGGGGTGCTCAGCACCCTGGTCCTGCACTACCTGACACAAGAAGTGGGTTTTTTTTTTTTTTTTGGTCAGTTGAACTCTGGGCCTGGGCACTGTCCCTGTGCTCTTCAGTTCAAGGCAAGCTCTCTACCACTTGAGCCACAGCGCCACTTCTGGTTTTCTGGTGGTTTATTAGAGATAAGAGTCTCACGGACTTTCCAGCCCAGGCTGGCTTTGAACTGTGATCCTCAGATCTCAGCCTTCGGAGTAGCTAGGATGACAGGTGTGAGCCACTGGCACCCAGCAAGAGGCAGCTTTCTAAGAAGCTTTTAAATAGGCCCACAGGAAACTGCAAAAGTAGTGCAGAAGCCTGCACGCACATTGACATCTACCATAGCCAAGCGCAACAGTGAAGCCAGCCGAGCAGACAGGCTGGGTGTCTCCGGAGCTTCCCCGCAGCCACGCAGACCAGCATGCACCTGCCCTGAGCTCGGAGCAAGGTGCCATTCCCATAGCAGAGCACAGAAATCAGCGCTCTGGCAGCCTAAGCTGTGAGCGGTAAAGTGTCTGGGCCCATCCTGCTCTGCAGTGAGCACTGTCGCCGCTGAGTGGATTTCCCGAGGGCTCCTCACCCTGGCCGCCACGGCCTCCTGGAGTTGATGGAGCCGCCTGCAGAGCTGCAGGCAGTGCTCGGGGTCCCGGCCCAGGTCTCGGACGTTCACCATCACCTCCTGTGCAGGCCCAGGAAAGGAGGGGGTTGCTCGGAGCGCTGGCCAGGGTGCAGCTTCCTTCCCCATCTCCCTGCCCCCCGCCCAGCTAGACTCCCACCTTCTCCTGGATCCAGGCCTCTGCAAGCTCTACTTGGTGCAGGAACTCTAGAAACTTCCACTTGTCTTCCAGCTCCTGGTCCCTGTGGGCCACTGCCTGCCCCAGCTTCTCCCAGAGCTGCCGCAGGGCCTGCAGCTGCCGGCTTGGGTCGTCTGGAGGCTCGCGCAGCGCCAGGAGGGCCTCACCCTGCTGGAAGCCGGCCGGAGCCTCGTCCATCCCTCCCGGGCCATCCTCAAGCCCGCACAGATTGCAGGCCAAGTTGGGGGTGCGGGGGGGGGGGCGGGGGCTGGGATTACCTGGACCACAGAGGTGAGGACTTGCGTGTGCGCCTCCACCTCAGCCTTGAAGGCCTGGTGTCGCCGCCAGTGCGTGCCATGATCTCTGAGGTGCTCTGGGGGACGCCATTCGCCCAGCCGCTGCACTCGCTCCGTGATCCACTCCTCGGCCTGGGGGACACACCGCCCAGCGCTGCCCCAGCCCGGCCGTGCCCCCACACCCCGGGGGCAGGACAGGAAGGGCCCAGTCGGGCACAGGAAGTGGAGGGGCTGGGGTCTTGCGGGGGCGGGGGTCTCCTCCTCCTGGGCCCCTGGTCTTGCTAGTGCCCAGGTGGGGTCCGCAGCACTGGCTGGACGCAGCCGTTCATCTCTGCAAACCCCGGTCTGGCTCACGAGTGGTAGTATCAAAGTCACCAACGTGAGGGGTGAGGGTGGGGGCCGGGGGAGGGGAGGGGAGGGGAGGGGGGAGGGCGCTGACCTGGCTGGCAGCGCTGGTGAAGGCGGCCAGTAGCCGCGCTGCGTGCAGGGCCGCCCCGCGCCGCGCCGCCCGCTCCCGCACCAGGGCCCCGCGCTCCAGCACTGCGTGAAGCGCGCGCTGCCCCCGCGGGCCCCGCAGCGCCTCCAGCTGCTCCCGCAGAGCCGCCACCTGTGGGGCAGAGACTTGGCCTCAGCTCCCGCTCCTCCACCAGCTCGGCCTCTCCCTCCGCCCGCACGCCAGGGAGCCAGAACTGCGGGACACCAGAGAGCGGAACACCCTGTGCCCCCCACCCCAGTGTCGACCACGCCCCAGACCCCCTGAGCCCATCACCTTCTCATCTTGGGCGGCGAGCACCTTCTGGAAGATTCCATGCTTGTGGATCAGCCGCTCCACCTCTTCCACTGAGCTCCCGAGGGCACTGGATTTCAGGGCTGCCTGGAAAAGTTAGAGGCCACCGTGGCCGCCTCCACCCCACGCCCCGAAACACTGCTGAGGCGTCTGGGGGAAGCGAGAGGCTTGGGGTGGGGCTGGCGGGAACAGGGGGTTCAGTGACACGGCGGCCTCTTCACGACGCAGGGGGTGGGGCCAGCCTCTGGCCGGGTCCCCGGGGGCTCTGTGTGGAGTAGGGGGCAGAGGCCGTGGGCCTGGTCTGAGGGGTAGGTAGACACGCGTGGAGCTGTGTGCTGGCCTCTGCGCCCCACGTGCCAAAGACCAGGAGGGAGGAGGGGAGGAAGCCCAGGAGAGGGGCAGGCGGCTGGGTTTGGGGTGCGGTAGGGCGCAGGGGACCTGCCTCTTGGGCTATCAGGATCTTCTCCAGGCGGCCGCACTGCCGGAGAAGTTGCTGCTCCCGCAATGCAGCCTGCAGCCGCTCCCGCTCCTGCACCCAGGCCTCATGCTCATCCTGCAGGGTGCGCAGCCCGGCCTGAACCTGGGGATGGGCACATGGGGTGCCAGGGGTGGCGTGACGCCGAGGAGATGGAAATGATTGAGGAGAGACAGGGGGCCATGCAGGGCGGGCGCTGGGAGAGGAACCCCACCTCCTCCGTCGGTGCCCCTGCAGCTAGCAGCGCCTGCTGGCCCAGCTGGGTGGCCTGCTGCCGAAGGGCCTCCCGGGCCTGCAGTTCCGCCTGAAGCCACTGGAGGGCGCTGAGGCTGGGTGGGGCAGGGCGGGACTCTGGGGAGTCATCCTCCATCTGCAGCTCTGGGCGCAGGCTGGCCGCCCAGGAGATGTAGTCCTGCACCTGATCCCAGGAGAACACGGGGAGCTGGGTGAGGCTGGGCTGCTTGCGGGGACCCTGGGACTGCAAGACAACTGAGCACATGCACACATCAAGCCTCCCAGCTGCCCGGGGCAGGGATGCCGGTGAGGAGCCCAGGTCTGCAAACCCAGCCCCTGTCAGACCCTCACTGAGACACCTGCGCCCAGCCCCAGCAGCTTTCAGTGGAGCAGACGCAGGCGGCCACGCTTCGCCTTGCTCAGAGGAACAAGGTAGTGGCAGCAAGTTCTGTCCGGTCCACTGTTCTGCTCCACCCTGGGGTCAGGGGCCAGGCCCACATCCCCTGCAGCTCCTCCACGACAGCCAGAGGACTTCCATAGCGTCCCTCCTCCCTCCTTCCCTGCTCCGCCGCGCACAGAGAGCTGCTCGCAGATGTTAGACAGATGCTGCCGGATCCAGAGGCTAGTCTAGAACACGTGGGTCTCTGGGTTCTAGACCCATTTCTAGGCTGTTCTCACTCCTCAGTGCTGAAACCCCTCACACCCCACAGATGCTGACCCAAACTTGGGGAGCCCCTGTAGGCCACGCCCCCTGGGATCAGCCTCTGAGCAGCCACAGTGACATCCAAGGTGGGGGGGGTCCATGCTCTTCCCCTTCCTGTCTACACTTTTCCCTCCTGGAGGAGCCTCATCAGTGCATGCGCGTGGAGGGCACCCACAATGCCCACCGCGGAAGGAGCCCTCACCGCCGTGTGGAAATGGAGCAGGAGGCGCGCGCGCTCCAGCTGGGCCCGGCGCGCCTGCACGCGCTGCCGTAAGGTGTCCCAAGCCTGCATCACCGCCTGCCGCCCCTGCTGCACAGCACAGGCCCCGGGCCCCGGACTCCGCTTCTGCACCCTGCCTCCAGCCTCCAGCAGAGCCTGCAGCTGCAAGGAAGGAGAGGAAGAGGAAGGGGCTGGGGGGCCAACCCCTCAAGCTGTGCTCCAGCCCACCTTGGGCTACGCCCTGCACCGCGGCCGCGCAGGAGGAGAATCTGGGCGGGCAGGCGGCCAGGCGGGAGGGCCCGTGTGCCCGGCTGCTCACCCGCTGTTCCCATTCCCCGAGCTCCTGCTCCAGCCCCTCGAGCCACCGCAGCTGGGCCTCCAGCCCCCGCAGGTCCTGGGCCACATCGTCATCGCAGGGCAGGCTGGAGGCGGCGTCCTGATTCAGGAGACGGCCAAAGGTCAGGGCTGGAGGGTGACAACAGCATCGGGGCAGACCCTCTTCTAGAAAGGTACCCTGTCCCCGAGGCGCACACCTGGATCTGGGTGAGGGCTTCCTGAAGATCCCTGTGAAGGCCGAGCGTGGTCTGGGCCTCTCGGAGCAGGCGGCCGTGGGCCTGGGTCAGCTCCCACAGCTCCGACCACGAGGCCCTGCATGGAGAGGATGGGGTGGGGGAGGGGGGAGACCAGCCATTCACCAGCTCCCCACTCCCCTTCCTCTGGGGCCCCGTCAGCCCCCTCCCTTCCCTGCTCAGTCTGCTCCTTTGCTCTTGCTCCTGTTTCTCTGATCTTGCTGCGATCAGAAACGCCTTGAGGGCTGGGAAGGTGGCTCAGTGGTAGAGCGCTTGCCTTGCAAGCCTGAGGCCCTGGGTTCGATTCCTCAGCACCACATAAGCAAAATAAAAAAGCCAGAAGTGGCGCTGTGGCTCACGTTGTAGAGCGCTAGCCTTGAGCTGAAGAGCTGAGGGACAGTGCCCAGGCCCAGGGTTCAGGCCCCACGACCGGACCCAAAAAAAAAAAAAAAAAAAAAAAAAGAAAAGAAAAAGAAACGCCTTGAGCACAGAGGCCTCATTCGCTCTCCTTGCTCCCACCCTGCTTTCCTCGCATCACAGCTTGCATCCTGTGGTGGCTCAGTTTCCCCAGGAGCAGTCCCAGGCAGCATCCAGTGGCCTTCAGACCACGGCTCTCCCCGCCCAGCCCCTGCCGCCCGGCACTCACTGCAGCTCCCGCTGCGTCTGGCGGGCGCGGGGCTCGGGCAGAGCCTCCGCCAGCTGCCGGCAGGAGGCCACGCGCCGGCCGCCCGCCTCCACCTGGCACTGAAACTTGGCAAACTCGGTGCAGAGGTGCTGAGGAGAGAAGGGAAAGGGGGGCACTGGCTTAGAGCAGGCCGCATGGGAGGCGCCCCAGCAGCCCTCCCCCATCTGCCTCTCACCTGCACCCGCTCCGGGTCCTCTGCCAGGCTCTCCCCTGCCCTGACCACCTGCTTCTGACTGTCCAGCCAGCCCTGCAGATCCGCCGCTTCGCTCATGAACTCGTGGAATCTCAGGGTCCCCTCAAGCTCCAGGCCCCTGTAGTGACAGCCAGTGGGTCCCCAGAGATGAGTTCTCGCCCCCCTGGCACAGCTAGCCAGTCTCTGGAGGCTGATCTGAAGGATGTGGTTGTTCGTGGCTTTTGCAGAAGCCTGGGACTTGGGATTCAGCAGACACAGGAAAGCAAGGAGGAGCCGGGGGTGGGGGGGGTGGGGGCTGGGGAGTGGGGGGTGGGAGGGGCCAGCGGCGGGGCTGGGCTCCTGCCCAGTGGGTCTTCACTGAAGAATTTGTGGAAAGATGCAAATAACACGCAGGGAAGACCCAGACTCCCGATGCGATGTCTACGGGCACAGTATGGGACAGCCAGCTGCGGCTAGCCCCTTGTACCCTGATGACAGGGGTCACAATGTCCCTCACCGGGTGGCAGCCAACTCCTGGAGAGCCCGTAGCTGCTCCCAGAGCCTCTTCTGCACGGTGCCCAACTGTTCAGGGGCCTCAGGGCCAGCCAGGCCCTGGGCACTCTGCTCCAGCTCCAGCATGGAACTCCAGCGCAGAGCCAGCTCCTCCTGTAACACCTGCCAACGTAAGACACATGCCAGGCTCAGACTGAGACCCTTCACTCTTCCCCATCCACTACCCGTGCAGCCTCTGCACCTGCCCACCCCCCACCATGCACCTGCCCACCCCCCACCATGCACCTGCCCACCCCCCACCATGCACCTGCCCACCCCCCACCATGCACCTGCCCACCCCCCACCATGCACCTGCCCACCCCCCACCATGCACGTCTACTCACCATCTCCCCTCAACTCACTCTTCTATGCGCTCATCCACCTGCCCCCCCCCCCCTTCACCCACCTGCCCAGAACTGTTGGTGGGCTTTTTTTTTTTCTGGTCATGGGGCCTGGGTGCTCTTCCTCAGTTTTTCAGCTCAAGGCTAGCGCTCTACCACTTGAGCCACAGCACCACTTCTGGCTTTTTCTGCTTATGTGGTGCTGAGGAATTGAACCCAGGGCCTCATGCGTGCAAGGCAAGCGCTCTACCACTGAGCCATCTTCCAGCCCTCGTGGGCTTATTATTATTATTATTATTTTTTGTTGTTCTTGGTCGTGGGTCCTGAACTTTGGGCCTGGGAGCTGTCCCTCAGCTCTTCAGCTCAAGGCTAGCACTCTACCGCTTGAGCCACAGCACCACTTCTGGCCTTTTCTGTTTATGTGGTGCTAAGGAATCAAACCCAGGGCCTTGTGCATGCAAGGCAAGCACTCTACCACTGAGCCACCTTCCCAGCTCCATGTGGGCTTATTTTGTGATAAAGTGGAGACATGGTCTTTGCCCTCAGAGGGATTATTATTATTATTATTATTTGTTGGTTGTAGGGCTTGAGCTCAGGCCTGGGTGCTGCTCCTGAGCTCTTTTGCTCTACCACTTTGAGCCACAGCTCCACTTCCTGTTTTTTGTTTTTGTTTTTTTCTGGTAGTTAACTGGAGATGAAAGTGTGGTAGACTTTCCTGCCGGAGATGACTTTGAACTGCAATTCTCAGATCCCAGCCTGAGTAGCTAAGATTACAGGCATGAGCCACTAGTGCCAGGCTCATTATTGATCAAGAATGAAGGCTGGGAAGTCTGGCCCAAGGAAGGGAGGGCCTAGGAGGCCTTATATGAGACCTAGCATTGAAGTGAAGAGAGGGACAGGCTTACGCTAAGCTAAGAGATAGACAGGCTTGAGGCAACTTAAGTTGCCTGGGCTCAGAGGCCCTCACGGGAGCTGCAGAGAGACTTGGCTCCTGTGGGGGACACGAAGGCCATCAGACATGACCTTTACGGATGGTTCACTGAGCTGCTCAGTCTCAGGAGCGGGTGGGTGGTGGGTTTGGTCTGATGGAGTCTTCAGGAAGAAAGAGCAGGCAGGCTCTGTGCCTCTGAGAAGCAGGGTGAGACAAAATTTGTCCTTAGGGCCACCAGCACCCACGTCCACCCCAATGTTCACCCAGGTGGTGCCTGGGTACCATACCTGGTGTTTCCAAATAAGCCTGCAGGTGGCGCTGGCATCTGTGCCGTAGTCCTGACTGCTCAGCACCGGCCGCGCCTCCTCCACCCAGCCCTCCAGCTCTGACATGCACAGGAAGCACTGCAAGAAGCGTGTGACTTGGCCTGACAGAACCCCGTCACCCGCTGAGCACACGGTGATCACCACACCCTGGCAACCTCAGCCCCTTGCGGACCCCTTGCCTACCTGCTGGCAGGCGGCGGCCCGCTGCAGGCAGTGGGCTCGAGCCTCACATGCCTGTTCCAGCTCTCTCCAGCGGCCTTCCAGCTTCAGGCACTGCTCCGTGACATGCTGGGCGTGGGGATATCCGGGGGCTCCGAGGCTCCGGCCGAAGCCCAGAACCCGGTGCACCTGCCCCTGGTGCGCTCTCACCTCGGCCCGCAGCACCTGCCACGCAACAGGGTGACCGGAAGCGGCCTCGTGGTTAGCCATGGAGTGTATGTGCCAGAGCTACGACCCTCGCCCCGGCCGAGAGTAGCTGGGGCAAAGATGTGGAAATGGAGACACACAGGAAGAGGGACTCAGGGGCCAGGACAACCTGAATAGCAGCAGATCTGGGGGTATGACATTGGGGTGCCGGGGGGGGGAAGAGCAGGCTAGCACCTCGTGTTTACGTTGAAGGCTGTGGGCACCTTCCCAGCCCTGGCTGCAGCTGGCGGGGCTGGCGCTGGCCAGGTGCTCGGCCACCCAGGTGAGCTCCAGGCGGCTCAGCTGGTGGAAGTGGTGCAGCTGCACCGCGGCCTGCAGCCGCAGGCGCCGGGCGGCCAAACGGCCCTGCAGGGACTGGAACCTGCGCCGACGGAGAAGAGAGGGGAGGGTGGGAAGAGAGCAAGGGCAAAGTCCCGGTCTCTTCCTCACCCCGGCCAAGGACCCAGGAGGAGCCAGGCAGGGAACAGAGGAAGTGCTCAGCCTGCATCGATGCCCTCTGACCTCCTTGCTCTAAGAGACTGCGGCTCATCACGTGCCTTCCCAAGGTGCCACCACCTGGGCCCTCAGGTTGACACAGGGGCAGGGACGTATGACGGTCGGACAGGTACCTCTCGTGGCACTTCTGGGTCTCTTCCAGGATGGACTGTGAGCTGACCTCAGCACGGGCCTGGGACATGAGGGCATCCATCTTGCCGGCCAGCACTTGGTTCTTGTTGTCTAGTTGCTGGTGCCGTTTCTGCAGACTCCGGCTGGCACACAGGTCCTGCCCGGTCTCTGCACTCTGCAGGGCCCCCTCCAGCTGCTCCATCTTCTCTGTGACATCCTAGGGAAGGTCATGGGGGAGCAGAGAGGCTGGTGCATTAGGATCTCCATTAAGGCAGCAGTGATCCCAGCACCCAATTCACCAGGGACGTATTGTCAACCCACAGCGACCAGCCAGCCCCTGTCCCGTCATGCCTCTCTCTCTGAGGGAATGGAGCTGTGCACCACATGCTGAACACACAGAGCCGTGCCCAGCTGTGGGCAGGAGGCCTCCACAGGCCGTAGGTCTTCATGGGGCTGCTCCAGAAGCAGAACACCCTAATTCTTCCCTGCCTTTCAGTCCGGCCAGCTTCCATCCCCTCCGACCCCCGGCCCCCACGGACCTGCAGGAGCCCCAGGAGCTGTCCCTGCTGCCGGGCCCACAGCAGCGCATCCCCACGCACAGCCATCTTGTGGTTCAAGTCTTCCCAGTGGTGACTCAAGCCCTCAAGCCGAGTCTGTATGTCCTCCCTGGCATACGGCATACTGCATGACAGCTCTCTCCCAGTCTGTAATGGAGACAAAGAACCGGGACATTGGGGACAAGGAACAAGTACTCTTATTTTTTTTTGGTCGGTCGTGGAGCTTGAACTCTGGGCCTGGGCGCTGTCCCTCAGCTCTTCAGCTCAAGACAAGCGCTCTACCACTTGAGCCACAGCGCCACTTCCAATTCTCTGGATGGTTTCTTGGAGATAAGAGTTTCTTGGAGTTTCCTGCCCGGGCTGGCTTTGAACCATGATCCTCAGATCTCAGCCTCCTGAGTAGCTAGGATTACAGGCATGAGCCACTGACGCCCGGCCTCTTACTTATTTTTTCAATGCCTGGGGCTTGAACTCAGGGCCTGACAATTGTTCCAGAGCTTCTTCTCCCCACCCCCCGCACCCCCCACCAAAGCTAGCACTCTACTACCTGAGCCAGTACTACTTCCAGCCTTTTCTGTGTATGTGGTATTGAGGAATCGAACCCAGGGCTTCATGCATGCTAGGCAAACACTCTACCACTGAAACACATTCCCTTCATGGGGGAGGCAGAGTGGGGTGAGCAGGCATCAGGGAGAAGCAGGAAGTGCTCTGTTGTGGGGAGGGGCAGGCTCTGGAGCTGCCCCGCACAGTGGAGGGGGGTGAGGGGACGTCAGCGTGTGAAGGGCTTCCTCCGCCGTGCCGCATGAAGACACGGCCTCCCCGACCCTGTCCAGCAACGCCACCTGCTGCAGGCGCTCCACGTGCTGGCGCGCGGCCAGCAGCTCGCTCACAGCCGCTTCATGCCATCTGAGTTTTCGGAGAACGTCATTCGGCCTTTGGGGCTGCCCATCCGCCGTCGCCGGCCCCTTGTCCTCCAGCCACAGCACCAGCTCGGCAATATCCTGCTTCCATCCCTGCAGGCAACCACAGTCTGGGTCCCCGGGCCCTGGGAGAGGCCGGGGCAGGCCCGACCTCTAGAGAGAGGGTTTCAGGGACACCCATGGGGAAAAGACCCAAAGCCAATGCTAGGGTACAAGGGAGGCAGAGCCTGAGGATACTGATCCCCAAATAGGGGCAGAGATATTGCGCCCATATCCCGCCTCCTGCTCTGGGCATCAGGTTAGTACTCGGAGGCTCTGGGAGATCTGTGCTCCAGGCCAGGCTGGAGCAGCTCTGGGGCTGCACAAAAACCAGAGCCACTGCCCTAAAGCATGCTGGGAATGGGGGTGGGGGGACACAGTGAGCTAGGTGAGAGACCTGGACTCTGTCATCAGCTCCGGGACACCTGTCCCGGGAGCCCCTCACCTGTAGCTGCACCGAAGCCAGCAACCGCTCCCTCCTCTGCTCACTCCTCTCCTGAAGTCGGCTCCACTGCGCCTGTGCACTCTGCAGCTGTTCTGTGACCCTACAGGGAAGGTCGGGGGGAGGGCTGGCTCCTCTCTGCTGGGAGGAGTGCCCCGGCCCCAGGACCGACCCTCTGCCTTCTCCCAACCTGCTCCCCCAGCCTCAAGGCCGCGCCCTGTGCAGTTGAGGAAAGGCAGGACGGAGGGCCAGGCTCACTTGTACCCAGCAGAGTGTGGGCTTTGAACCAGCTTCTCGCCGTACGTCCGCAGGGCCTCCGCCCGAGGTCCCAGGGCGCTCAGGGACCACTCGAGCCTCCGGTGCTGCTGCAGCAGGCGCTGGGCCTCCCTCACATCCTCCTGGGTGCAGAGACCTGAGGTCACTCCTGGAGGACGGGGTCAGTACCATCTCACCCTGTCCACATCCATCACAGGGCCTGCTCCAGGGAGCAGGTGAGCGCCCTCTAGTGGTGAGAGCAGAGTGACACTCGTACCCCCAGGCTGTCCAGGCACAGGAAGGCATCCAGGCTGGCACAGGTGGCGGTGAAACGATCCACTTCTTTGCCAAACCTCTGCAGCTCCAGTCCCTCCTGCAGCCGCTGCTGGCTCTGCTCCCACACGGCCTTCAGCTCCCGGCTGTGCTGGCCCAGGAGCCTCACTGCACTGGCCACTTCTTGGGAGTAGGGGGAGTCGATGGCTACCATGGAGGGACTCTGAGCTTCCAGCCGCTGCAGCCTGAGACAATGGGCAGGGGTCAAAGTGCAGCGGGCTCCCCTCCCCAGCCTTCCTCCCCCCTCACAGCGGAGCTCTGCACTGGGGCCTGAGCTAGCCAGGGGGTCTGTATTATCCAGAATGGCAGGGGCAGCCAGACCACAGGGCCTCCATGGGCTCTCCCAAACAGCAGTGGCCATGCCAGGGTGGACAGAGTCCCAGAGAACCAGTGTCCCAGGACCCTTCCAGAAGAAGACGGGCATCCTGACTGAGTAGGCCTGGTACCTGCTATAATCCTGCCCCAAGTACCAGCTAGACATCAGCTTAGGCCACTCCCCTGGCGACCACAATGCTTCCCACCCTCCTACCTCACCCAACCCCCCGAGGCTTTGCCTTGATGGTCACCCGCCAGCCCCTCAGGCCAGACCTCTCCTGCCACAGGCACATCTCCTCTCGCTGGGCCGAGCCCGGGTCCCCTGGCTCCTCCTCGCTGCCCAGCCGGGCCTGGAGGCCCTGCGTCCACAGCAGAAGCTGCTGGCTGTCCTGCAGGAAGCTCTGCTGCGCCCGAGCCTCTGCCTGGGCCTGGACCCGCCGGGCCATTCGCGCCTGCACCGCCTCCACGTGCTCCCGCAGCGGCTGGCACTAGGCAGGGCCCGACTCCACCACCCTGGGGGGGGTCACAGGCCATGGGACAGCACCGTGGGCCTGTGTCCCTCTGGAAAGTGGCAACAAACTCCAAGCCTGCCCCACCCCTGCAAGGAGCAGTACCAGCATGTGGCGCTTCCATCCCCTGGCATCTTCCATCGCTGTCTCTTTACCTCTGCCCAGCCCTCCCTTCTCCTCCCTCAATTCCTTCCTCCCCGCGTCGCCCCGCTCGGCGCCTCTCGCCTCCACCGCCTGCCCACACCAGCACCGCGCCAGGTCCCGTCGGACCTTTGGAGGCTCTGGATCCTCCTCTCCAGTACCAGAATCTTCTGCTGGGTCAGGTGTAGGGCGCCGTGGCTGTCCTCTGTGCGCCCTGGCTCCAGCGTCTCCAGCCACAGCATCACGTCTTGCAGCTGGGCACGCGGGGGGCCACACTCCTGCAGAAAGCCGCACGCCTCTGCGCAGTGTGCCAGCTGCACACGCTTCTCCTCCTTCAGGGCCTCCAGCTGCCCCCACCTAGGCAGAGGGCACAGGGCCATCTCTGTCACAAGGATCCTCAACATCCAACCTGGGGCCTTGGCCAGGGCCTTGATACGCTGCCAACCTGGCTGTCCCCTGCCCTCTCCTGTCCCCCGGCACTGTCCAACCTCTCCATGGGACATCGCAGGAGGCGCGAGGCCCAGGCCCTGCCCCACCCACCCACCTGTGGCAACCTCGTTCTTGCCTCTGGCTCAGGTCCTCCTGCATCTGCTGGATTTTGGCGGCAGCTGCAGGACACCTCTGCTTCAGCTGCTCAGCACAGCCGCTGACCTCAGCCCGGCGGCCCTGGCCCATGGCAAGGGCAGCGAGGAAGTTCTGGGGAGACGGACACAGGTGGCTGGGAGGCGGGCCTTCCTCTTCCCTTTCCCCAGGGGTGCGAAGGGATGGCGTATTCCACCTGCCTCTGGATGGCCAGGCTTTGGGTCCTTAGCTCCAGAGGGGGCCATAGACCTTGGTTCCCTCCTCAGATAGTTAATATGCAGAATGGAGCAAGGCGGTGAACAGTGGGGGCGGGGGGGGGGGATGGAGGGAGGGAGGTGAGAGTACAGCGCCCCAAACCTTCCTGGGAGCCCAGTAATTCGCACCTCATACTTGCATTGCATGACTTCCAAGTTGTCGCCCCGGGGGTGCAGTGTTCCCAGCAGGGCCGCCTGCTTCTCTACCCAAGACCGGAGCTCCCCATAGGAGCTGCAGAAGCCGAACATGGCCACTGCCTCCTCCAGCTGGGTCCTGCGGAGCTGTGGAGAGGGGCTGGCGTGAGCGCCTCTGGCCGCTGCAGGATGCTCCCTGTCCTGCTGTCCACGCCAGGCCCCCAGCCGGGCCAGGGCCAGAGAAGGCCCCTGCTCGGTGTCCTGTCCTTTGCACCCAGCAGAAAGTGAGAGCTTACAGCTGGCACACACCCCTCCTGTCACCTCCACAGTCCCCTGGGCCTCGGCTCTGCTCAGCCAGCGGCCCCCGCACTGCCCACTACACTCCCCTCGGCTCCTCGCTCACACCTTTGCTTCAAAAGGCCTTTCCAACCCCCAAGCTAACCTAGGCTCTCCTCTCGTGCTCCTACTCACCACATCCACTGAAGGCTTGCTGACGGATGCCAGCTACTCAGAGCAGGGAGCATGCCCCACATCGCTCTGCCCCCGGGATCACCACACAGGGCCTCGCCCAGGGAAGCGGCCTGATGATCTGCACCCCCCCCACTTCCCTCTCTGCAGTAGAGGAGGCTCACCCTGGGGCATCACACAATTAGGCAAGTAATGCAATGCTAGGCCATACTGTAACCCTTTTGAGACTGAGCATTGCTGTTACCCATGCAAGTCTTGAGCTCAAGAGCTTCCTAGCTCCGTCTCCTGAATAGCTGAAACTACAACTATGAACATTTATTTTTGCTTTTTAGGGGTGCTGGGGGTTTGGACTCAGGGCCTTGTGCTTGTTAGGAAGGCTACGCCTCCAGCCCTTCATTGACTGTTTTTGAGATAGGGTCTTGCTTCTTGCCTGGGTGTGCCTGAGCTATTATACACTATTTTAGGCTTCCTGATGTAGCCAGAGTGACAGGTGTGCGCCCACGAGGACCACGTTCTGTCTGTTGAGATGGATTCTTATAAACTTTCTGCCAGAGCTGGCTTGGAACTATGGTCCTCCAGATCTCAGCTTCCACAAGAAGCTGGAGTGACCCCCACACCCAGTCACTGGTTAAAAAAGGGTCTTACGTAAATGGCTGGGCTGGTTTTGAACTGTGATCCTACTGGTCCAGCTTCCCAGGTAGCTGGGATTACAGATGTGAGCCATAAACGCTAAATGAATGTTTCTTAAGTAAAGAACATTACCTCTGCCAGGGAGCACAGGCCCTCATAGTCCTGTCTCAAGCGATCCTGTGTCTGGAGTATGGTGTTAGGGTCAAAGTCAAGGTCAGACTCCGCCGGAGGAGCCATCCTAGGTCCTCCCCCTGGAAGGCTCAGCGCAGCCACCTCCTGTGCAGATGGAGAATCGTGCTTCAGACCCAGGGCCCACCAAGCGGCGGGAATTCTGCCAGGGGAGTGTTAGGGGGTTGTACCTGAGGCTTCTGCTCCCCGCTGTGGCTGATGGGCATCTTTTCCTGACAGTCCACCCATTCCGCCAGCTTCCAGGTGTCCAGGGCGGTCTCTGGGAGCCAGGTGAGGCTCGCTGCAGCGGAAGCACAGGCTGGGGGCTGCTCAGAGACCGCTCCTTCCCATCCAGGGGCTTGCCGCATGGATAGGTGAATATAATTGAGGAGTTAGTGTTTCCCTGTGTCCCGCCCCACGTGAGGAGCCTTGGGGGCTAGAAAGACAAGGGCTGGACCTTCCCATCCATGGGCTCAGCCTCTCAGGAAGGCAAGGCTTGAAAATCCAGAGTAGGTAGGACACTGTCCAGACAAGCACAGGGTGTGTCATGTAAAGTCAGTACCACAGGTGTCCAGGGTGGGCACGAAGGCCAGGTCAATCTGGGGCACTGGGAGAAGACCCCAATAGGATCTACCAAGGAACAGCAAGATGGCTGTGGGCAAGAGCTGGGCACAGAGAAGTAGGGAAGCCCTGGCTGCTGCCCCTCATTGGGGATGGATGAGCACCTCATCCTTTTTTTTTAACTTTTTTTTCTTTTTGCTGGTGGTGGGGCCTGAACTCTGGGCCTGGGCGCTGTCCCTCAGCTCTTCAGCTCAAGGCCAAGCACCCTACCACTTGAGCCATAGCACCACTTCCAGCTTTTTCTGCTTATGTGGTGCTAAGGAATCGAACCCAGGGCCTCATGCATGCAAGGCAAGCACTCTACCACTGAGCCACTTTCCCAGCCCCCCCTTTTTTTTTCAGTCATGGGGCTTGAACTCTGGGCCTGGGCGCTGTTCCTGAGCTCTTCAGCTCAAGGCAAGTGTTCTACCACTTGAGCCACAGTGCCATTTCTGGTTTTCTAGTGGTTTATTGGAGATAAGAGTCTCATGGAGTTTCCTAGCTGTGAGCTGCAATCCTCAGATCTCAGCCTTCTGAGTAGCTGGGATTACAGGCATGAACCACTGTCACCTGGGCCTCATCTTTTTCCTCAAGGCCTTGTGCTTGCTAGGCAGGCATTCTACCACTTGAGCCATGTCCCCAGCCAAGTGCCTTTTCTGCCAGTCCAAATAGGCCTCCCTTTAATTTCTGCCCTGAGACCTTTCATGCCCCAGAGAGTAAAGTCTCTTTAGCTCTCTCGTTCGTGATGCCTATGAAGACCCCACACAGGTCTTGACCTTGTACCTCTGGAGGCCTGGGCGCTCAAGCGCTGGCTGTCTGGTGCTGCTGGCGTGTGGGTCTCCTGCAGGGGTCTCCTAGTTGTATCTCCATTCATCTTGCCCCAGCCTTCTGAGGGATCTTCCTGTATGGAGGGGCAAAGGCTCTGCTTTAGAGGCTCCCCACCCCCAGTAGAGGGAGCAGTTTTCACCTCCCTACTCAGCATCAGAGGAAGAGCAGGTGTGAAAATGGCAAGGCCTGAGCCCTGGTCTGTGCCAGCATCAGTAGAAGACACATTAGGGTAAAGAAGATCCCATACAAAACTGGGAAAGCAGGACACACAGAACAGGAAATAGCCAGTATAAGTACCTTGTATCAAAAGCATATATGTTACTCAATATAGGCATGATCACAGATGTCCACAGGCACACGGGGTGGGGTGGGAACAGCCCTGGACAAGTGCTAGGAGGCCTCTTTGGCAGGGATACTTGGGGATCTTTAGGTAGTAAAGTGGACCCTGAGCCTTGGTTACCTGATTTGCAAAGACACATGTCCATCTTCTTTTGTTTGTGTTCTATGTCGCTTAGGTTGACCTTAAACTCACTGTCTTTTTACCTTGTCTTCCCCAGTGCTGGGGTTATAGTTGCAATGAGAACCTATGGCCCTGTGGCCAGGGGCTGAGTACCTGGGCACTCTGGAGATCTGAGGGGGCACAAGGGGCAGTGGGGAGGGGGCGTCCCAGGCATGGAGCTCCCTCAGGGAGGCGGGTAGGGGAGCTAAGCTGCAGGGCAAGGCAGGACCGTGGTGTAGCCCGCGGCTGCTTCCTAAAGGCAAGGCCGCCACTGCCAAACTTTTGGAAAGTTGGGGAGCTTGGCAAGTGACAAGAGGAACTTCCAAAAGCAGTCTGGTGCAGCCATTATGCCACCCAGACCCTTCAAGGGCTGTGTGTGGAGGGATCTGCTCCCCAACCGTGAGCCAAGCCTGCTGCACTGGATTCAGGTGGGCAGACAGGACCGCAGTCTTCAGGGCTGGGTGAGCTGAGGCCAGGCCGCAGATTTGGGGGACGAGCCAAGTAGGTGGATTGTCCCCTCTAGGTGGCTCAGAGGCCCCCGAGCCTGGGACACGGGAGACGGGCCACACATTCGGTCTGGGTTCGTCCGGGTCCGGTCCCGGGGCGCTCACCGTGAGCGATGCCCGGGCTGCGGCCGCCCGCGCCAGCTCATCCAGCCGCTGCAGCTCCGCCGTGAAGGCGCGCACTCCGCGCTCCAGCCGCAGGTGGCGCAGCAACAGGTCCTCAGCTTCTGCCTGGCCGTGCGGGGCCTGCGCTTGGCCGTGCGCGGCCTCTGCCTCCCCCAGCATGGCCCGCTGCTGCTGGAGCAGCCACGAAGCGGCCTCGGCGGCTTCCGCCAGGTACTGCGCGAGGGGGCGTGGCTGAGAACAGGCCCCGCCCCACCTTGCCCCTCCTGCCCAATGAGAAGAGCTGTTTGCATGCCCCGCCCCTGCGAGCCCCGCCCACATGCCCCGCCCACGGCTACCTGCGCCACCTGCAGGGCTGTTTGCAGCCAGGCGCCCCGCCCCGCCGCCCGCGTCCACAGCTGCTCCCAAGCTCGCCGCACGGCCTCCGCCCTCTCCCGGGGATCGGGATTCCTCGTGGGCCCGTGGGTGCTCAGGTGGCGACCCCTTTGCGTGAGGTCCGCGCACACGGCCTGGTGGTGGTGCAGCCCGGCTTCCAGGACCTAGCAGATGGGTGGGGTGACCCAGTGAGGGAGGGGAAGGAGAAGGGCTGGGGCTCCAGCCCGCAGGGGCAGGGAGCTCAGGGCGACCTGTAGGGCACCTTGTGTTTCTGCAGGGCCACTGCGATCCGGCTGAGGTCCCGGCCCAAGCTTGCTTTCTCCACCAATTGTCTACTGCAGTTGTGCAACCAGACCTCCTCCTCCTCACAGCGGTGCAGGAACTCTGTCTGCTGCAGGTTCTGCTCCAGCAGCATACGCCTGTAGGACCACAAGAGTCACCCAGGGTGCCTTGAGTTGCTAGGGAAGGGGGTGGTGGTGGTGGAGATTCCTCTACTAGGATCTGATGTGCCCCTTACATCTTTTTCCTGAATGGACTCAGTCTTAAGGCTGAGGGTAGAGGAAGTTGCCAGGTGGTGGTATTTTAGCCTGAGAAGAAAATAACTTGGGTATCTAGAAAGATCCAGAGAAGGTTGGAGGGTGGGTGCTGGTGGCTCATGTCTATAATTCCAGGAACTCAGGCGGCTGAGATCTGAGGATCACAGTTAGAAGCCAGCCCAGGTAAGGAAGTCCATGAGACTCTTATCTCCAATTAACCCCTGGACACTGGAAGTGAAGCCGTGGCTCAAAGTGGTAGAGTGCTAGCCTTGAGCAAAAGAGCTCAGGTACAGTGAGTGCCCCGAGTTCAAGCCCCACAGCCAACCAAAAAAAAAAAAAAAAGGTTGAAAAGTTGGAGCAGGCGCTTACCGGGCCTTGACAAGAGACACCAGGCTCTGATAGATGTGGTCAAGTGCCTGGGCCTTAGCCTGAAGCATCTCCACACCGGTACCCAGGGAGGAGTCCAGCTTTGAAATCTGATGGGCAAGATGGCTCACATGTGCCCCATAGGCCAAGACCTGTGCCTCTAACAGGTCATGTCTCTGCAGCAGCTCCATTACTTCTGCCAGCTGCTGCCCACAGGCTGTGGAGCTGGCTGCCACCTGCCAAGAAACCAGTAGACATTGTGGCCTCGTGTTGCTGGGAGCATGGTTCCTGTGAACACCGGTGCTGGGGAAAGACTCTCGCGAGACCTTACCCTGGCTTCCTCAGTGCTCACCTGCAGCTCCTCAAGCTGGTCAGAGGCGGCCTCCACCTCCTGAAGCAGGCTCAGAACAGCCTGCGTGCCTGCCATCTGCTTCCTTTGCTTCTGGAGACTCTGAAGGAGGGTGTGCCAGCGCTGGTTGATCTCCTTCTGCCTGGAGAGGGGGGATAAGGGGCTCAGTGGGCCGGGGCAGGAAAGCTGTTTCAGGGTCTCAGCTGCTGGTGTGATTTGGCCACTGTGGTAGAGTTTGACTTCTGGATCTGGTGGCAGGACCAGTACATAAATGGCCTCGTGTGGCCAAAGCAGTGTGTCCTGCCTTGGTAAAAGCCAGAGAAGCCAAAAGAAAGGCCTGGAAGATTCTATGTCCCTGGACCTTCTTGGGAGGCAGAGATGGGGAAGTCTCAGTTTGAGGCCATCCCGAACAAAAGAAGTTCAAGAAACTCCATCTCAACCAACTGCTTGGCGCAGCTATGTGTGCCTATCCTCAACTACTGGGAGCATAGGTAGATGGATCGCAGCCCACAGTGTCCTGAGCATGTATGAGATCCCACTTCAGAAACGACCAAGGCAGCCCATCATCAGTGGCTCATGCGTATAATCCCAGCAACTCAGGGGGCTGAGAGCTAAGGATCACAGTTTGGAGCCAGCCCAGGCAGACAAATCCAAAAGACTCTTACTAGCTGGGTGCTCATGTCTCACAACTGTAATCCTAGCTACTCAGGAGGCTGAGATCTAAGGATGATAGTTCAAAGCCAGCCTGGGCAGGAAAGTCTGTGAAACCCTTATCTCCAATAAACTATTCAGAAAAAGCCAAAAGTGGTGCTGTGACTCAAGCCTTGAGTACAGACAGGCTAAGGGACAGAGGCCAGACCCTGAGTTTAAGCCCTAGGACCAGCAAAAAACAAACAACAACAAAAAACCCCACAAAATTCTTACCTCTCACCAGCAAAAAGTCAGAAGTGGGGGCTTGGTGCAGGTAATAGAGTGCCTGATTATCAAGTGTGAGGCCCCGAGTTCAATCACCAGTACTGCCAAAAACCAAAAACCCAAAAATCCACATTTGAAGTGGAGGTGTGGCTCAAGTGGTAGAGTGTCAGTCTTGAGCAAAAAAGCCAAGCGAGATTGAAAAGCCCCAAGTTCAAGCCCCAGTACCAGCATGAGCATGCACATAAAAGAGATAGTTCTTTACCTAAAGGGATGAATTACTGGTAGTGAATATCAGGCATCCATGGGAGCAAATCTAAATCACTGTTTCCTCCATGGCCAAGAGTAGACCAGGAATGTAAGGGAGGGGTATGAAAGCCTTAGCTTGTGAGAATGGTTCCTATGCTTGAGGCTTACCTGTAGACCACATCTGCCCAGCTGTGATACTGCTCCTGCCGGAGGATGTCTGCAATCTCAGCCAGGGCCTGGAAACGTCCTTCCTGGGGCAGGATGCTGGCCTCCAGTATGCCCAGCCTCTGGGAGGCTGCCTCCATGGTGACTGAGCTGGCTGGGGGGGCCCTGGTCTGGTCCAGAGCCTGCTCTGAATCCTTTAGGAAGCTCTCCCGGAGGGTTGCTTTACGCTGGAAGCGCCCAGCCAGAGTTTCCAGTCGCTCTAGCTTTAGTAGCCTCTGCTGCAGGGCCTGGCTCTGGGCCGCCTCTGCCCGCTCCAGCCCTGACCAGCGCTGGGAGAGCTCTGCCAGGCTCAGGCCCTCTGGAGGCAGGAAGGGCCTACGGTTCTGGGCCCGGAGAGCAGTCTGCAGCCGGAAGAGCAGGGCCTCCGCGGCTCCCCGCTGCTGCAGTCTGGGCGGCTTTTCCTGGGTGCGGAAGCAGGCAAAGGCCGCTAGCAGCTGGCGCACGGCAGGCAGGGAGTCCGGGAAATCCCTGGCGTCCAGCTGCATCTGCTTCTCTGTGATCCAGCGGAGCAGGTCGGCCACCAGCTGCTCGTACTGAGTCTGCAGTGCCTCGGTCTCCTGGAGCTGAAGTAAGATCTGGTGGGGGTGCAGAGGGAGAATCAGGGCTCTCCCACACCCCCAAGAGTGGGGCAGGCTTGCCATGGAGGTGTCTCCTGTTGCATGCTGGGTGTTAGCCAGAATTGCCCAAGTGGGCTGTGGCTCATCCTACAGCGGAGGGTACACCGCCCACCCCCCAGCACCCAGGGAAGAGGAGGCGTGGCTCCGTCAGACGCAGGCATGACTGCCGAGGGGGCTTGCCTTTCTCTATCTCACTTTGCCTTCTCTAGCTGCCTCCACGCTGCCCCTCTTTCTGGTCCTCCTGCTCTTCCCTGTGCCGCCCCCCACGCTGCCAAAACAGCCTGTAGCGCCTCCCCTCACACCATCCCCGGCACTAACCGGCACGACAGCCCTCCCAGGCCTCAGTCTGTGCCATCGTATCCAGAGAGTGAGAGACCCTCCCAAAAACATGGGTCCTGGGTCACCTCTGACCCAGCAGAGCCTCTGCTACAAGGCAGACGCTGGCTTCCTAAACCTTTTAATCCCATTAGGAGCTTAACAGTTTGTGAGTGACAAAGAGGGGACAGGACAGAAGGGGGCACCGGTCCCCTGTCCACCCGAGTCTGCCAGACGGGCACTTCATACTCGCGACAATCCATGGGTCATCATCTCCTGTTACCAGTGGAGCTCAGAGAACTTAGGCAACTTGGCCAAGGCCTCACAGCAGGTATGTGTGGCCTTGATTCCGGACCTTGGCGAGTCTCTTCTGCACCGTCTGCCCGTGGTGCAGGCGGGAGAGGCAGTGGTAGTAGAGGGAGACGTAGGTCATGATGGAGTGCTCGTCTGGCTGTGGAGCGGCCACGTCCTCGGGGTCCAGCAGCTGGGCGATGCCGAGCTCCCGCTCAGCCACGTGGAAGGCCGACGCCAGGTTGTGCAGCGCGCGCTCGGGACGCAGGGAGCTATAATCTACCAAGTCTGGCCTGGGCGGACAGAGGCGGGAAGCGCTTTTCAGCGTTCGCTCTGCTGTGAAGTCCGCGTCTGAAGCCAGCGCGTGCTCCCGTCGGCCAAACTCAACTTAGGCCAAATGTACTTCTTTTTTTTTTTTTTTTTCTTTCTGGTGGTAGCGGGGTTTGAACTCAGGGCCTTGTTCTTGCCAGGAGGGCGCTTTTACTATTTGAGCCGCCTGCCAGGCTCTTTTTGTGTTTTTATTTCATGTTTTGAGATAGGTTCTCACTCTATGCCTGGTTAGCCTGGATTTCTGATCTACTTGTACTTCCCCCACAGCAGGGATGACAAATGTGAGCCACTGTACCTCCTCCCCCCACCCCCTTTTTTTTGGTCTATCGTGTGGGACTTGAACTCTGGGCCTGGGCGCTGTCCCTGAGCACTTCAGCTCAAGGCCAGTGCTCTACCCCTTGAGCCACAGTGCCACTTCTGATTTTCTAGTGGTTTATTGGAGATAAGAGGCTCATGGAGTTTCCTGCCTGGGCTGGCTTTGAACTGCAATCCTCAGATCTCAGCCTCCTAGGTAGCTAGGATGACAGGTATGAGCTACTAGCTTCCGGCTTCCTTTTTTTTTTTTTTTTGGAGTTAGCTGACACCTGGGTTGAAGGATGAGTAGGAGCCCACGGGAGAGGAAGGTTCATCTGGCACAGGGCTGGGCTGGGGGTAGGGGAGGAAGTCCAAGCCGAGCCGGCTCTAGCCAGGGAGAGTGTAGTGAAAGGAACCCAGTGGCTCAGACGGTGGAGAAGGCAGGGGTCAAAGGCAAACCCGGCCATCTCTGTGGCTGCCCTAGAGCAAAGACTCAAGACTCCAACCGCTTTACTTCTCAAAGCCCAGGGTTGGGGGGGGGACATGGAGAAGGGGCAGGAGCTCTGGGCCTAGACACGAGGCTGGGGCTGTACCTGTGCGCGTGGAGGAGAGCGTTAAAACCCAGCCCGTCACTCCAGCTGTGCGAGAAGTCGGTGATGTCCACGTTGGCGTAGCTGGCCGTCTTCCGCTGACACCAAATAAGCAGAGCTTCCTTGGCGGACAGCTGGGCTGCGCTGGCTCCAAACTCCTCCTGGCAGGGCAGGGCGGCCACTGTGTGTGGTGGGTATGGGTGGAGTGCGCTTCCTCTTACCTGATTTTATCCGGGGAGGGTGAGGATGGACAGCACCTGGAAGCCCCGAGCCTGCAAGCTGTTAGCGCAGAGCAGCAGGCTCCACTTTGCAACTGATGGCCACATATGGCAGGGGTTCTTAGTTCTGGGTCCTTCTGAGAGGCCGGTCATGAAGCTAGCTAGCCTGGGGCTTCACAGCATGAAGGTCCTTTCCTATCACTCAGGATTACTTTTATTTATTTATTTTTTGGTCAGTCATAGGGCTTGAACTCTGGGCCTGGGCGCTGTCCCTCAGCTCTTCAGCTCAAGGCCAGAGCTCTACCACTTGAGCCACAGTGCCACTTCCGGTTTTCCGAGTGGTTTATTGGAGATAAGAGTCTCATGGCCTTTCCTGCCCGGGCTGGCTTTGAACCGTGATCCTCAGTTCTCAGCCTCCTGACTAGCTGGGATTACAGCTGGGATTACACCGGTGGCGTGAGCCACCGGTGCCCAGCTCACCACAGGCTTTTTGTGGGCCCTTGTAGTAGGTACCAAGGTTAGTGTTTACATTCTTCAGTGACAAAGGAGGTACAGTCAGTCAGAGATCAGGAAGTTGTTTGGGGGTCCCCAGTAGGGGTGGGGGTAGTCTGCACCCTAAATCTCTGACAGAGGTTTCAATGTCCGGGGCTGCTGCAGGCTGTGGAAGGCCTCAGTGGATCTGCTTTCCATCCCCTCCCAGGCAGGCCCGGGGTTTCCAGCCAAGCTTGTGGCTTCTTTTCATTTGGGTTTCATTGCTTTCCTAACTTACAGAATGGAATTTCAGGTGGCATTGGAGAAATCCTAAAACTGCGAAAATGGACACATGTATCTAATTTTCTCTTGATTCTTTCTGATCTGGTTGCAGGGGAAAAGAGGTAGGATGGGAAAAGTCAGGGACCACAGGTGTTCGGGATACGGGGGCTTTGCGTGTTTCATTTCCCCTGACGGGCGGGATGGAGCCTGAGAGTTAAGGGTTCCATCTCCAAGCAGGGCACAGCAGACCAGGGGTGGAAGCAGGTGCCGGGCAGCCACCCAGCCCCTCCTTCGTGGGTGACTTGCCCAGGCTGGGTCCGAGGACCGATTCCAGTCCTCCCTTCAGGCTTTAGCAACATTTCCAGCATTCTGGGTTGAATACTAAAATCATAGACGCCTACTGTGGGAATCACAGAGCAGCCCCTGGGAACCTGGGGGGCGGGGCCAGGGTTGGGCTGGGTCACGGTGGTGGGCTCAGACATACCCTGTCCAGGGAGATGTGGGAAATCTGGAACCGCAGAATGATGATCCACAGGAGCCCCAGGATGAGCGACTGGTCTCCATCCACGATGTTCTCTGGTCCGATGAGAGGAATCGGCACCTGGGGGTGGGGGTGGGGCAGGCACCGTTGGCTGGGCTGAGCCATGAAGCCTGTGTTCCCTAGGAATCAGAGGAACCAGAAGCTCAGAGAGGTGGCTGTCAGGTTGGGAGGGCCCTGGAATCCAAGGGCGATCTCCCTTAGGGAGAATGAGCATCAGACCAGGCCAAGAAAGAGATAGCTTGGTCCACACCCGCTCTGGATGATGGCCTAGAGCCTGGTATACTGGGCTGGGTCCCTGGGTAAGGGACCCCAGACACAAAACACAGGTTAAACTGGGGCCAAAGTCAGTGGTTCAGCTACAGGAGTCGGAAACGAGAGGTCATTAATAGCAAATGTGCAAGCTAAACAGACCACATCAGTGTCGGCCTCCACCTCCTGGGGAACCCTGAGGTCCCTAGGGGTATTGGGGTCCTGGCATTACACCGGAATCCCAGTCCTATTAGATTTTCGTTTTCATCCAATGGAACCTTTAGGAACTTGAGTCTCGAGCCCCATGCAGCCAGACTCAACAAACACCTGCCATGCTCTTCCGTGCAGTGACGTTAGGAGCCTCTGCCCCACAGCTTGTCACTTGCACAGGAGGATGGAGGAATCAAGGGGAGAGCAGGACGGAATGAACACCCAGGCCCCAGAGGACCTGGCCCTGGTTACCTCGGGCTCCACTGTCACACTCTCTTCATCACCCCGAGTCACACCACACCCAGGCCTGTGGGCTTCTCAGAGACGTCTTGGGTACTATGAGTCTGAACCCCACTGAGCTGACAGGCTCAGTGGGCAGAGCTGGGCTTTGCACGTCACATCCCAGGGCCTGGCCCGGAACTCAGCATGTGGTGATGTTTCCGTAATGACGATGGTCCACTCCTGATGCTAGTTAAGCTCGTGTGCATGAGCACACGTGCACCCGGGCCTGGGGGAAGCTGGGGGGAGGGCTCCCTGGGCACGGGGGGGGGGGAGCTGGGGGGAGGGCTCCCTGGGCACGGGGGGGGGGGAGCTGGGGGGAGGGCTCCCTTGTCTTGACCACGCCTGCCTCCCTCCCACTCAACAGTGACCTGCTGTCGCCAGAGCTCCTGGAGAGCTTGACTGTCAGGCCACTGCCCCTAGGACCTCAAGGGCCTGGCTTTCTGTAGCTGGCTGGAACCACAGTGATGCCCTTCCTGTGACTTTGGTGTCTTCTGTCCTCAGCCCCGGGGAGCCGCAGGGAACCTCCATCAGGAGGTGTGCACCCTGCACACCCACGCCAGAACCAGAGCAAGGCCAGGAGCTAGTTTCCCAGTAGACATAAAAGGAGCTCTTAGAGCGCTTGCTTTTTCTCTTTAGGGCTTGAACTCAGGGCCTTGAGACCTCTCTAGTGCTCTACTACTTGAACCATGCCTCCAGTCTGGCATTGTGCTGGTTAATTGGAGATGGAGTTTTGAGGCTATTTCTGTCCAGGCTGGTTTCTAATCTTGATCCTCCAACTCTCAGCCTCTAAGATTACAGGCATAAGCCACTGATGCCTGGCTCTTCCTTCCTTTTAGTGACCATCTCTTCGTCTAGTCTCTTTCTCAAATCTTCCTATGTGTGGAAGCTCTTCTCCCTCCGGCATCTCTTGCCGGCTCTTGTCTTTCCTTCTAAGTCCCTGCCATCCTTCCGTGCCCCACACCTGGGCTCCGCTGCCTGGCTGACCACGGATCTAGCGGCTGAGTCATCCCGGCCTCTGGGTCCACATGCGTGAAATGAGAAGACGGATTTGTTTAGCACAGAATCCTGCATTGTCCCTTATGAGACAGCGACCTTTCCAGGCCTATTATAGTAGGTGGCTGCACTGCGGCTGGCTGGGGGCTGTCCAAGTCAGGACACCTTTGCTGTTGCGTCTGCTGCATCCTTGCTAGGCCTTTCATGTTTAGTCCCAGATCCTCTCCCACCTGCCCAGCCACCCAGCTAGCGCCCTGCTTCGCGGCCATGCCCTGCACACACCTTGGCCCTGAGGAAGGCCAGTGCCCGGCTGTTGTTTTCCAGGAAGTGCACGCGCAGGCGGCCGTGGCTGGGCGGCGGCAGGGCCTCTCCCGAGATGAGCTCCAGCAGCCGCAGCAGGCGGGTGCCATCGGCCAGCTCCGTGTACAGGTTCTGGATCCTGATGCCCACCTGGGGAGCAGGCAGGGTAGGTAAGAGGGCAGCCCCGTCTCCCCTGGGAACCCCAAAGGAAAGGCCTCTGTCCTTAGCTCTGCTGTAGAGGCCACAGCAGCCCCCCCACCCCCCCAGCCCCACTCACCTGGCTCAGCCGGAAGATGTTATTGACCCACTTGGTGAATGTCTTCTCTTGCACGAGTGCGTGTCGAGTCTGCAGCTTTCGGATATGACCCGCCTCATAGTCAGAGGCCATGGTGGGACCTGGGTGGGGTGGGACCTACATTGGGCCTGGGTGTGGAGGGTAGGTACTGAGGAGCTCTCTGCTGGGTGTGTGTGTGGGGGGTCTGGGGCTAAGCCTAGCCACACTGTGCCCCACGGTTGGTATGGTTTGTGACCTGGAGCCTAGACAAGCGAGGTCCGGTGCTCCTGGGCTGGTATCCAGGACTCATTTGCCCACCCCCACCTTCCAGGTTCTTCTCAAGAATCCTGGCTGCCAGTCCCTCAGCCACAGCAATCTGACTCCGCTCCTTGGGTTGGTGAGCGCGAGTGGAAAGGAGACGGGGCTGCTCACCTTTGGCGATGTCTTGTGCTGCGATGGCAGTCAGCAGAGGCTGGGCCTGGAGGAAGAGGCTCAGAGAGGCCGGGGTGGAGCTGCCCCTCCCTCCCTGCTTTGCTTCCAGCTGCCAGGGATAATGACACACAGGCGACATTGTCCTCCCCCCTGCTCCAGGGCGTGGCCCAGACAGGAGGAGGTGGCTCCAGAATTCCCCTGACCCATTGCTAGAAGGTCTCCTCCATCTTCCACGCCGCCCCCTGGAAAGCTTCCCCTGTGGTCAGGCGGGGGTCCTGGTTCTCAGAGGGTTAAATTGGGTCCCAAGTTCATTTCTGAAGCTTTTTCTGTGACCAGGAGGGAGTTTCTCACCCAGATTCTTGGCTCAGAGATGCGTGGAGATCTGTATCACCAGCAGGGTGGATGGGCACGGGGGCAGAGGGGGGGCCCAGTGTGTGCTGTTGGGGGTACACATGAGGCCAGGCCGCCAGGTGCTCCTCCCTGGGGTCAGCAAGCCTTGGGGTTTATATCAGGCCTCTGGGGGCCACTCGAACTCTTGAAACTCCCATGGCCAGATTCCTGTCTTGGTTCTCAGCTTCTCTCAGGTGGGGCCAGCTGGCCCTTGGTGGGAGTCACCAGAGGAAGGGTGTGGGAAGAGTTGGGGATAATGGACGGCGTGAACAGGAGGCACACCGTCTCCCTGACCCCTTCACCTCCCCTCAAAATGAGCCTAAGGGACACAGGCTTTGCTCGGGAGAGCCACGCAGTGGCCAGAACCCCAGAGACAAGAGGCGATTGTTTCATACATTTATTGATTGTTTCATACGTTTATTGACACTTGTGACATTACAAGGAAAAAAAAAAAAGCCCTGTTGTGTAGACACTGCACTGGCTAAATGATCTCTAACCTGAAACTCTTACATTAGGTCTTTGGTTACTTGAATAAACTCAATGGTTATCTGTTGAAAGAAGGTATATATTTATTTTTGTTACAGCAAGAGAAAATAACATAGTTAAAAGTCATCCTTAGGTTCACAGCAATTCATTGTGTTCACAGCAATTCGTTGTGTGACAGAGGGCGGTGGTGGGAGGAAAGGCCTGGGTGGCAGCTGGGAGGCTCTGACTTGGGAAGCAGCCTGCCCTGGGCAAGGTATTTGGGACACAGGCTCCCTGAGAGAAGCCAGCCCTTAGGGGACCCATAGAACAAGGAGAAAGGTCTGCGAGCCGCGGCTAGGGGAGGAGTGGAGGGAGGCTTATGACTCAACCCTGCGACACACTCAGGCCAAGTGAGCATCCGCGAGTTGTGTCTTTGGAGGAAAGAAGTGGACCACACGTTGGGGCTGGAGCCACTGGGCCACCTGTGTCCCCCACAGAGCTAGGGGTTCTGCTGAGTGAAGCGTCTTTTCAGTTGGGCTCAGTGGCCTCATTGGCGGCTTACAGCTTGGGAAGTGACAGATGGGAGGAGCAGGCGGAGCACTCTCTTCCCCTAACTCAGGGCTGCACAGGCCTGTTACACGACGCCATGGGCCGGGTGAAAATAGGACTTGGAGATTTCCTTTGGAACCAGGGCAAGCATTCTGGTCTAGAGTTTAAATACTGACACACGTCCTGTGTATAAACACACTGAGGGGATATTTTGAAAACTGGGTGACATGAGTTGTGTGGTTTGTAAGGAGACTCGGGGAAGGAAGATAGGTCCTCAGCGCAGCAGGATTCAAGTGGGGCTGGAGCATGATTGGGTGTTAAGGGCTCAGACATCATCAGTAGACCACGTAGTGATGATTCACAGACGAATGGACTATTAGAGGAGGCGGGGCTTAGCTGGAGGAAGTGGCTCACTGGGGACTATCTTGTCCAGAGTTTGTGTCCCTCCCCGCTTCCTCCACCCCCCACTCCTAGCCTTCCCTTCCTTCCTGGCCTCCATAAGGTGAATAGCCTCCTCTGCTACCACTGATGTTCTGTCTCATCTCAGGTTCAAAGCCACAGAAGCAGCTGACCACAAGCTAAAAACTCTGCCACCATGAGCCCACACCAACCTTTCCTACTTTAAGGCAACTCTGTCCCAGCAACAGAAAGCCGAGAGGGCAATGTGCTTGAGGTGAGGTGTGTGGAGCAGGAAGTGGGGCTGGAGTTCAGCACTGACCCAACAAGCTTCATGTTGGTCCCTGAAGACATCCAGCCTCGCTTGGTCACCAACTTGTTTACCTTTGTTCTGAGCTTTTTCTTTTCAGTACTAGGCTTTGAATTTAGGGCGTCACCCTTTTTTGCTTTAGTTATTTTTAGACAGGGTTCCATGTTTTTGCCTAGGGCTTGCCTGAACTGTGATCCTCCTCCTATGTCCTTCTGTATAGCTGACACCATAGATATGTACTATCATGCAAGGTTTATAAGTTGAGATGGGATCTTGCTAACTTTTTGCCGGGGTTATCCCTGAACCACAGTCTTCCTGATCTCTGCCTCACCTGTAGGTCTTGAGAACCCTACACGATACATGATTTCATGTTGTAAGAGAGACTACGAAAAGTGTTCTGGGCATTCACACAAGTGAGACCAAAGACACAATGCCTATGTGCCTCTGATCATACTAAATAATACTTATCGAAGAGGAAATGGAAACAAGATGTTTATTTTTCTTTGTTGCTGTTTTCATCTTTTCTTTTGGGGAGAGTGAGAGGTATGGAAATGGTGGGACAAAGGGTGGACAAATGCAGCAGTGATACTAGATGCCATGGTGAAATGAACTACAACTTGTGGGTGAGGATGGGAGGGAAACACTGGGAGAGAGTGAAGGAAGGGGGAGATGTTGTCCAAAAAGGAATACACTCTTGGCTGGGCACTGGTGGCTCACGCCTGTAATCCTAGCAGGAGGCCGAGATCTGAGGATCGCGGTTCAAAGCCAGCCCAGGCAGGAAAGTCGGTAAGACTCTTATCTCCATTAGACCACTACAAAACTTCAAGTGGCACTGTGGCTCAAGTGGTAGAGCACTTGCCTTGAGCTGAAGAGCTGAGGGACAGCGCCCAAGCCCAGAGTTCAAGCCCCATGACCGACCGAAAAAAAAAAAAGTACTCTTTACCTGACTAATATGACAACAATAAAAAATTAAAAACAACACAAGAGGGTTATTATCCCCCCACACCCGAGAACATTACCAGACCCCAGAGGGAAGCTGAGGATCACACTGCCCTGAGAAGCTTCCTGGAGCGGAGAAACCAGAGCCTAGGGCTCCACAATTGTCCCTTACAAAACCTCAGGAAGCACAACTTGGCCAGCTTCACGCGTGAGCAGACTGACAAATATTTAAAAAAAACTACACACACGTGATGTAAATATGTGCATATATTTATGTTACAGATTACAACTGGGCAGAGTTAAAGCAACAGGATAATCCTAAATAGAAAGCCTGCCCTCCCTGGCATCTTGACTGAGACTCTGGACAAACTGGGGCTCCACAGGCTGCCCTCTGGTGACCCACTGTGCTGGCTCACAGAGCCATCCTGCTCATATTACAGCCCTGGGACCCTGCAATCTCTACCCCCCCCCCCCCCCCCACCGTGTGTCTTAGTGATTAAAAAGTGCTCATTCAGATTACAAACCACACTACACAGCTGGGTGCTTGTGGCTCAGGCCTGCAATCCTAGTTACACAGGAGGCTGAGACCTGGAGCACTGTAGTTCCAAGCTGGCCTGGGTAGAAAGATTTCCTAGACTCTGTTTCCAAAATAACCAGAAGAAAGCTGGGCTTGGAGGCAGCTCCCTGCTTCCCGCCAAGATAAAAATAATACTAGGTAATTACTTCTCTGAAAACTGAATTATTTAGAAAGTAAGTTAGGGAATGTGCACAGACATCACCAGAGGCAGGTGAAAGAAAAAGAAAAAAAGATGTGTTTTTTGGAAGGCTCCCTGGAACTGTTCTGGTTCCATTCATTCTGGGGGCTGGCAGGCCGTGTGGGATGCAGCCATTGCTAGCTTGTTGCTCTCGGCTACGGCATGAAAAACACAGAAAACAACCTGCCTGCCTCCCAGAGCCGGGTCCCCCAGCGGAAGGGGCAGTGGTGGCAGGCATCTGAATGTGGGCTTCGAGGTTTTACCCACGGGCCTGCGGAAGGAGCACCAGGAAGGTCCGTGGCCACGGCCCGCCTCAAAGTGTGCATGCAGGAAATGATGCTCAGGGACTCTGAGAAGGTTTTCTACAAAAAGATTTTTGGAGAAGGATTTCTGAAGAACGTGTACTTTTCAACAACATTCAGTGTCGACCTCCAACTGGACTGATGTCTTCTATCCAACAGTCCGGGGCAAGGCTGAGGCCCTTGAACCCTTTTCTTATATTCTCTCACTAGTGACCCTAGGGCCTTGGATATGGCCCACAGCAAGATTGCTGCATTTAAATCCTGGCATCCACCAGAAAGATCCAGGGGCGTTCGGTGGCTGTGGACCACACTGACTATGGAAGAAAATCACCTCTTTTCCATGCTGTAGTTGAAGTCTGCCTACACTCTGCTATACTCTCTTGGGTAAGCTCATCAGCAAAGCAAATTCCCCCGACATCAACGTGAGCTGAAATGCCAACAGGGTTAAGGTTACAAGCTCCAAAATTCCTATGTGAATCCAGCTTGGGGGTTGCCGGGAGGCTGTGGTGGGGGTGCTGGGGCAGACGTGCCCGGCTGCAGAGACAGGGCACAGACATGGTGCCTCCTCTCCGAGCTGGGCATCCGTCTTCTCTT